GAATTTTGTTCTCCGAATTTGCAGAGCTGTTTCTTAATTCGGAGAATTTTTCATTATATGAGCAAATACATTAAAATGATATCATCTTGGATGAAATGAAAGCTGTTCATCAACTTATCTATTATAGCCAACCATCGACTTTTCCAACAATTATGGCCAAAGATTCATTCCAAAATTGAAATAAAATTTGGATAAATCGTAAATAAAATCATTTGTCAATAAGTCTGAGATATTTGGATTAGACATAAAATGAATGTATTATATGGATTATGTTGGATGTATTTTATCAACAATGCAACTAAGAACTCATGTTATGAATACACTAATTGATTGTAACAATAAATAGATGCAAATTCTATAATTCCACTTAGGCAGATTTAATCTGATTCCAAACGATTCCACAAAAAAAATTGATTCTAGAACTTTACTTGTGGCCGAATTATGTTCAAAAGTGGCTACTTTCTGAGATAATGGAGATTTCAACAATTAAGAGCAAACATTGTTTTCCAAAACAGATGAGTCATCTGAGATGACGTATTAAAAAGTACTCTGAAACTGAATGCAATGGGATTGAATTAAAATAAAACTTCAAACTTATTGGATAGAAATGGAAGGGATTGTCGTCAGTTTTTTTTTCTATTTCTACGAAAGCGCATTCTCAAAAGTCGATGCAAAGTTTCGATAGTAAAGTGTATCGATATTTTGTTCAATCATCTCTTAAGTGAATTTCTTAAAAACTCAATCGAATCGGCTTTTTTTTTTCTCAATAGTTAGATTGATTTAAAAATACCCTAGTGCATTATACGGAGGAGTTAATTTATTGAATAAATTGAAAATTATTCCATGAACTGGAGATATTTAAATAAATTTATCTAATTAACTTTTTAAAAAAATTAAATCGAAAAGCTTGAAAGGGTTTAATAGAGAACGTATATATTTTTTTTAATGACGTTGAGAACATTGGAATAAATGACCTGGAAATATAAAACATGATCTTGCATCAAAATAATCAAGATTCGTGATTCAAAGTGAATCATTCAGGCAAGAAACACATTCCGAGTAGCGACTACTGAATCGATCGTGCATGGAAATGCTGCGTTGGATCGTGAAATTGAATTTCATGGTGAAAATTTCACCGTTCACATATTTTCGTTGCACAAATAAATACATAGACTATCAATCAAATGAACGGAATACAGGGATATGAGGTAAGTAAATATATAAAGTATGATGTGTTGATATGATCACTAGATCCATTTACACCGACAGTCTTAATGCCGCCCCATATTTGATTTTCAAATATCCATGCGATTAGTTCGAGTTCAAAATAGTTCGTTATTATGTCTTGTATGCATAAGCCAAAGGTAAGAAAATGTCACATTGTCAACCGAGTAGATGAATTGTTTTGAAAATGTGGATTTCTATTCGGAAATGCTAAAACAAATTTTGCGGTCAAAAAGAGTGTTGTATAAACTTACTGGCTTTTCGTATGCGTTGTTCCATTGTTCACTTTGCCCACACAATGATTTTTTTTTTGTTGAGAATATTTTCCAAAAGCACAAACGTAAAAACGTAATGCACCACTTTTCAGATTTAGAATGTGAATATTTTTCGTTAAACCAGAGCGTATTCGTTTCTAACGGAAAATTTGTATTCGAATCGAACCATCCAAAAAAAGTGCCGTATGATTTTTTTTCTGTTCTGTTGGGAGAATTGTTGTCTTTTTCGGTGTGTCGTTGAAATCGTTCACCAAACGAATGATTCGCCAAAATGTTGCGTGGCGATATTTATACCATTCGCCAACGATGATTCTGTATCCATATCCATCCATCCATCCATGTGTTTGATGTGCGTACGTATGTAGATGCGTGAGCATCCGTGCGGTCCGCCACAATTCGCCCAGTTGTGTGATGATGCTGTGCCAGCTGTTGAACAGCCACTCACTCGTCACGATACTCGCGTGTATCCCATGATTTGTTTTCGTTTCAGTTCAAGTCTCTCAGTGTGTACGAGTACGGTGGCGTTTTTCTTTTCTTCGTCTCTAGTCATCGGAGATGTTTTGTGTGAAGGATATGGAGTTTGTTAGCGTGATATGTTGCGGCGCAGACTGTTCATACATTCTACAAGTGTTTGTTTTCGCACAACACACTCAGACGGGGCCACAAACAAAACAGCCAATGTTGATACGTGTAGAAATGATTGGTTAAGCATTCGCGCGCGTCCACTTGGGCAATTGAACGATTAATTGCTTTGTCCTTTTCATATTATGCAAACGGAGCAAAAGCACAATCAAGCATTAAGTGGTGGAATAGACTTTTTTCCAAGCTAGAATCAAACCACTGAATCTGATTTGATTGCAAAGAGTAAACGATGGTAAAAACAATTGAATATGAAAGCGGGACGAAATGTGAGTGCAACGCAGAGAGAAGGGAGAGAAAGGGAAAAAGAAGGGACAGAGAACGAGAGCACTCCATTAATTCCATAATTTTCATATTGAATGCATCAATCGCTATAATCTAGGCGTCCAAAGGCGCACACCACACCATCATCATAATAAACATATGCACCCGAATGGGAAAATGTGTGATTGCTGTGACAGCGAACGATGCATAGAACGAATGAAAAATACAAGCGAAAAATAATAGCACGTAATTGGTCCAACTGTGACAAACGGTCTGAACGCCGGAACAGAAAAGATGAGGAGAGGGAGAGAGAGGGAGAGAGAGTGACAACAAAACAAGAAAGTGCGAAAAAAAAACGATGGAAAAGCGCGTGACTATGCACCACTCTACTAAGAAGGACTATGATTATTGTTTCGAAATGAGAGCAAAGCCAATAGTGGTAATGGTAGTGGTTGTCATTTTTAATTGAAAACAAAAAACACACACACACACACAACGCACAATTGACCGAGTCGTAAGAGCCGAACGTGTTCGCGCACATTGAAATTTAAATGAAAAATTCTTCTTTTTCATCACTCATTCCAGCTCCAATTGGTGTTTATCACTTTAATTTGCATCAATATTGATATTTTATTTATTTCGCTTGGCTGAGAAACGGGCCATATTTTCAATACCACAATCATCTGGGTGAAATTGACCAGATTGATTACGTTATTGTTTTGTAAACAATGTTTACGGATGGATTTTCCGGGTGAAATGTTATGATTCATCAACATTGTCCGTTATAGATGGTTGTGCGTGTGCATTTTACCCATATGTGATGTGATACAAATTAGAACGAACGTGCTTGCTCTTATTCTCGATCTCGCTCTTTGGACACCGTGTTTATATAATTTCAAATTCATCGGAATGTTTGTCGTTACGTTTGACCATTATCCGATTGGGTTATGTGCAATTCCAAAAAAACATTGCATATCATTAATCGGTTTTGATGGAATCAAATCAAGACGTCACTGATTTATGAAACCAATTTAATCGAAATTCAATACAACATTGGCTGACAATGTGTGCACCTATGCCGCACTGTCTACCCACAAATGGATTATATCCTCTGTCTTCAGTAAATGGATTGGTGTGTATGCGTGTGTAGACAAAGAAAAATGTACGTGCATCATTTTACTTCGATGGGAATTGATGATACTCCTCACGCGTGAGATCACGTTAGATAGATTTTTTGGATATGTATAGGGGGAGGTGGGTGAAAAAGAAGAGAATATGACACGAGCGCGCACTTAGGTCACATGTTAACAGGATTTCCCCATTTTCGAATAGCACACCGCATCGGATTCGCAGAATTTGGTTGTTGTTAGCACGTTGTATCAACACGTTACTTGCTGAATTTGTCCACCGCATACGAAGCACATTCGTAAATAAGAAAATGGAAGCGAATTTAAATACACGCGGTTTGTGTTTTGGATTGAATCGTCACAATCGAAAGGTTTCAAAGCTCCGTTTGGTTTTTGCTAACTTGGATCACCGCACAAGATGAATGAAAGCATTGGATGGTTTCTGTTTACGTTTTCCCGTTCATGCTTCGTCATTGCAAGCAATGAACATTTGGCACTGCCTACCAAGTACACAAATCGCTGCAGCGCAGTTTGGTCGTTTTTCACTGCATGGGCTTTTTTTTATGTTATTTTAGTTTGACGTATTGCTATGCCGAGTACATCGAAAACATCGACCAAAACAAGAAGTTTCACCTACGTACCACTGTTTTATCGATGCCAGTCAGAAACAGCGTAATGATGATATCACAACCTAGTAAACAAGTGGGCATGCCCATGTTGTAGAGCCAGTTTTAGTCTTTGTGCACAAACAGTGATTCTTTTCAGAAAGTTTAGAACGAATTCTTTTTAGAAAGCCTAGAATGAATCGTTCTAGTAAAATAGTTGCTACGTTTGTTGTGTGTTTGGGTTTTTGTTAGTTTATCGGAGGCCGATTTGTATAGTGAATGAATTTTTTTCCCACAATTTGTGTCCTCTAAAAATTGTAGTGACGGGTTTTCAATTCTGCCGAGAATACATGGTGGAGGTGCACGAAACCAGACACAAAATCATCCACGAAAAAAACATACTCTCCCGAAACTGTCCAGTTCTACCAACACGCTACTTTCCATTCGTCGAAATTATTTCGATGCTGACTGAAAATTGACTTCCGATTTAATGTGTGGGCACAAAAAAGCAATTAAGATTCGAAATTTTTCATCTAACATAGACTCAAAAGTATAACATCTCTACCCAAACATGTTTACTTTTGCGCTCACGCATTCAATTCGATGTTTCCCTTTAGACACGATTGACTGATCAATACTTGCCATTATTCTCAAAGTAATCCAAAACATTTCCGGAACAGACAAAGATTTTCAATGAAAAAAAAATTGAATCCACTTTTCAATTTGATCATCCGTTTTGCTTGTACCGTCTAATCGGCTGGAAAATCCAAAAATATCGCAATGTTTTCAAACTACGTGCAACATGTGACACAATGTGTCACTGCTACATGTGCTTCACGTCCACAGAGAATAAAACACAGCGTCCGTTGTGTATTTCATATAAATATAAAATGTTCTGTTTATTTTCCATGTGATGGGTAAGTAAGTGTATGGAATTCATTTGGATAAATTGGGATTCGAAAAGCGATTTTAAAGTACAATTATTAGTTGTTTCCTTTTTAAATTTGACAATAAATTAGAAATATTTTTTTTCTCATCTTCAAAATCAATTAAAACAAATAACGTGTTGCTTTCACTTCAATATTGTGTGTTGCCGCATTTAAACTGGCTGGATTAACATTAACAGGTCCTCTTTCAAATAGTTGCCCCCAATGTTTTCCTCATTTTCACAAGCAACAAAGGTAAGAATTGTATTTGGTACAAGCCTGCAATTGAATACGAACATTTGTTAATAGAAGAATTCAAACCAATGACGTGGGTATGAGAGAAAAAAATGGGAAAAGAGATGAAAATAGGTAAAAAATATTGATCGAAAGCAACGAAAAAAAAAAATTTCAATAAAAAAAAGAGCAAACAAACGAAAAAGTGAAGAAAAAGAATTAGAAAAAAAGAAAAAATATGAAAAATAGCAAGAAAAATCATTTCTAGCCATGGCTAGAATTAGCAAAAATGAACAAAAAAATGAAAAAAAAATTGACACACAAACATTACAATATCCAGCAATGAATAAGCCTATCAAAAAATTGTCTGCATCTAAGCATGTGGAACATACCTAAGATCGAATAGAGTTTTGTTCATGTCATCATCATCCCATTTGGTGCCAATGGGTGACATGAGCTTGAAATCGAGTGCTTCATTTTTCAGGCACGATTGAACAAATGCATAGATCTGATCGAGTTTTTCGTACACAGAGAATGTGCCTTGTAGATAGACGCCGTCGGGAAATCGAACGCGAACTAATGCAAATTTATACCGTTGAATGTATCGCAATTCTTCACGTTCGCGCATTGCTTTCGTTTTAAGTATGGACGCATTCTCAAGAGCTTCCGTTCTGTAGAGGAAAGAACAAAAAAAAACCCAACCCAACCGAATAAACTAATTGAGTTATTTGACTTAATAAGGATAATCTGTTGCCTACATCATTGCTTGGGCGCAAAAAAAAAAATTCAAACCTAAACACAATCGAAATGGCCTAAAACAGAACAAAAAAAAAAACAAACACCTTACCGCAGCTGTTGTTCTCTCTTGAGCTCCTCGGGCGAGATGCGATAGAAATCGGGCGGTAATTCTGATTTTTTCGTCTGTGACGGCAACAACACCTGTATATTCCGATCCAATTCCAATGGTATAATTTCGGAATGTTGCAACGCTTCAAGTAGTTCATTGAGTGCGTCGGCACCGTCTGGATTATGTTCATCGGAATAGATGAAAAATTGCTCATCATCAATGGTTTGTTCGGTAAAACCGGCGGCAAGTAAAAAGTCCAGTGCACCCTCGCACGACAACACTTTATCGCCGAATATTCGATTCGATTGGCGTATCTTGCGATACTTTTCTTCGTCCGGATGTTGAATTATATTTTGTAGATATTTGGTGAGTGTTTCAATGCAAGCGGCCGATTTCTCTTTTGTATTACAATTGAGTATGATTAGGCATGATGTGAGGCCACGTTCAACAGCCAATTGTTCGTACAAAAACTCCTTAATCTTTATTTTCCATTCGTTACGCGGCAATACTTCATCGCTAACCATTGGACATCTGTCTCGAGTATCGTGCACGAGCGAAAGAGCGAGAGAGCCGGAGAGAGAGAGAGAGAGAGAGAGAGAGAGAGAGAAAAAAAGGAGAAAGAGATGAAAATACAACCGTAGCAAATTACGTCTAATCTATGAATATAGAGTGTCTAAAAGCCTATATACACTGCCGTGTATCTGTGTGTTAGTGTATAGATGCTTGTGTGTGTATGTGTGTGGGTAGCAGATGTACAATAGAAATATATTGGATAAAGAATAAATGGTCGGAATTCGATTTAGTATACGGTGAATCAAGAGTGTGGTTGGATCGTCGTGCGCAATAGGATGTTGTCGTTTAGCGTCGGTAATCGAGTAATCGGCGACGGTCGAACATTTGTCATTGCTGAAATTGGACAAAATCACCAAGGTGATATTGAAGTGGCAAAGCGTATGATTGCCGAGGCCAAGGCAGCCGGTGCTGATTGTGTCAAGTTTCAAAAGTCATGTTTACGCGAGAAATTCACGCACAATGCACTTCAACGACAGTACGATGGTCCCAATTCGTGGGGTAAAACGTACGGTGATCATAAAGAATTTTTGGAATTCACAATCGAACAGTATAAATTGTTGCAGAGCTATGCCAACGAATTGGATATCACTTTTACGGCATCCGCTATGGACATTCAATCACTGCAAGATTTGTATGATTTGAATGTACCGGTCATTAAAATTGGATCGGGCGATGCAAATAATATTCCATTGCTGGTGAGTGCCGCCAAATCCACGGTGCCATTGATCATTTCGACTGGAATGCAACACGAGTCCATGGTGCATCGCATCGTACGAATTATGCGAGACAATGATAAAATCAATTATTGTTTGTTGCATTGCGTATCCGCCTATCCAACCGCACCGAGCGACGTTCATCTACGAATGCTGCACACCTATCGCAATTGCTTTCCAAACGTTTGTCTGGGCTATTCAGGCCATGAACTTGGTACAGCCATATCAACAGCCGCCGTCGCTATTGGCGCTAAGGTAAGTTCAGCACATGATTTTTTTTTCTAACATAAAATCAAATGGAATGATACAAATCATACTGAAGAGGCGATTCCACTTATGAATTTCTTCGTTTTGATATGATTTTGTTTCGTTGAACCGATTTTTTCTTCTTCTGATATTTGATGCTTACAATCAAACTAATCAAGGTAATTGAACGGCACTTTACATTGGACAAACGGCAAAAAGGAACCGACCACAAGCTATCACTCGAACCATCTGAACTCCGCCAACTCATTGCCCGCATTCGAACGGTCGAAGCCCACAATTTACCCACACACGTGACGGACGATCAAACTATTCTGGATTTGCTATCACCGCTGTTGTCCACCACTGAATTGACCGATGTAAAATTGGCCATTGCACCACTACCCAGGAAATCGGTTTTAGAGTGCGAAATGCCGTGCCGCTTGAAGTTGGGCAAATCGTTGGTGTATCGGAACAGTCTAAAATCCGGCACCACACTCACCGAACACGACATTTGCGCCAAAGTCAGCGAACCATTTGGCATTTCAGCCGAACGTTTTGATGAATTCATTGGCAAAACACTCAACAAACATGTCAACGAAGATGAAAATTTACATGAAACAAATTTTTGAGGAGGAATTTGGAATTTTTGCGAAACATTTTGAAATTTTATGACAAAAAATTAATTTAAAATGCTCGTTTTTTTTGGAAATAAAAATTTTTCCTTCGGAATTAATGGTTTTAACTTGATTTGTTTTTTGGTGGTTGTGCATGAAATGTGGCAGAATTGCAGTTTTTTTTTTATTCGCAAACAGAGAGAAGGAAAAGAACGCGCTAAGACTTTTGCAGAATATCGTAGTTTCAATTGGACAACACACACATTTGATTCAAAATGATTTGAAAGAAGAATATTTCGAACAAAATCTTGCGAAAAGTTTTTTTTTTTCAACTAAAAAATCGCAATTTTCTGTGACAAATTATTGCTTCCAAATAATTTTCGTCATTTCTTTCTAATTTCTTGCAATGAATTCGAACAATATTAGAAAGGGGTTTTTAATCGACTTTTTTTAATCGATCCTTTTCTTTGAAAAAAATTGAGTAGAAAATTGTAGGTAAAGCCGTGGAAAAATCGTCAAAATCCAAACAAAATGGCTCATTTTCGTTTGGGCTCAGTTTTCAAGTGTAAAAAATATCGAATAAAAAAGGTTCAATAAAAAAATACATTCGAATTGTCATATTTACCGGAAATAAACGCCTTGTGCCGCCAAATGACGGTTGTGTCCATCGTCCAGTACTTTTGGTTGTGGTTGCTCTTGACTAATTTGCTTCTCGATTTCGGTTTTGGTTTTGCGTTCAGCCTCTAATTCTCGTTGCACTTGCGCTCGAATCGCAGCCAACGACGTATTAAAATGCGTGTCATCCTTCTTTTGAGATTGGATTCGTGCCACGGCTGCCTCGGCGGCCGTTCTGTTGATGGAACAATATGATTAGTTTCGAACGTGACAAAAATTAACATTGAAAAGAAAATGAAAACATTGAGAAAAATGGATTTTGAGTGGAGACAAATTCGAAAATGACTTAATAAGAAATATTTGAAGTGAATGAAATGGCCAATTGATTCAATTGAATTGAATTTGTGAGAGAGAAAAAATGTTACGGTGTCAAAAAAAAGGCAAACAGATTTTTTGAAATGACAAAAAAGTTAATTTCAAAGGTTAGAAAATAATCATTTAAAAACTTGAGATGAAATATCAACTTCAACTTTTCAATTTCTTCAAGAAGAAGTCCAAAAAAATCACACTTTGATTGTTTGTCATTTTTTAAATGTATAAAAAGCCATTTGCAAATGACAAACCAAGTCAATATTTCAATTGTCAACGTAAACAGTGTTTAACATACACACACACACAGTGTGTTACTAAACACGGTGTATTACTTAGCCTCAGATGTGAGCTCTTTGCGTTGTGGTGGGACATAAACATCACTTTGTGCTTTGGTTGATTTGGATGTGCTTGGTGCATTAGTGCCATCAAGACGGCGACCCGGTCCGGCCAACTGAAAACCGTAAAAAAAGCTAAATAAAATCGCTTCAATCCAAGAAAAAAAAAATCCGTTTCGTTTACCTTGAATTTGGCCTCATTTTTCTTTTTCTTGAAGAAATTTTTGATTTTATCTGCAGCTGACGACATGTTGAATGTGGTATTTTCTTTCGTTCTTTGTTTATATTCTCGGTGTATGTTCGTTGGGTAATTTTAACTTGGCCACTGACAATTTTAGCTCTTCAATTTCCTTCAATGTACCTGACAGATGAAGAAAAAAAAAATTACAATTACGAATTAACATAGTTTCATGACATCACATTCAAAGTCAAAACGCATCAACAACGAAATCATTCAAGCAATCATAGTGGAAATGAAAAATAAAGGAATAAATAGAGAAAAAAACCATAACAACAAAAAACAAAATCAATCGTAAAGGTCGAAAGAAGAAAAAAAACAACCAAAACCCCCTCCCCATATCGATTATAATGTGTACTTACTCTGTCGTATGAATCGATCGGTGATGACACCGCCGTATTTCTGCCAATAGAATCCAATTAATGCCAAATTTATGGAAAATATGACGAGGAATATCGTTAATAGAATGGTTTGCAATTCAGTGAAAAAAATAATCGGACACGCATTTGCCGATACCGTTTCACTGATATTGCCAATGGCTGACACTAAATCGCTGCAAATTTGCACAAAACGCGATGGCACAATATCGATATCGATGGGCGTAAAATACGTGCTAATTATGGTGAAATTAAACAAAAATAAACTGTCCAAATTCATTGAATTGTCAGGTGGAACCGTGAACGGCTGTTTTACGTTGTAAATTGTGCCTTGTGTGTTAATGTGTGTTTGTTGCGCGACTTTTTTTTTCTCTCCGTTTTACACTTCGGAAGAATGTGTTGTTTGGATTTGTTGTTTTGCCCACCTTTGAAAATTCACTGCTCGATGGTTTCTGTGCCTTTGCACACGAAATTGCTTTATTTTGATGCAATTATCTCTGGGTTTTCGTATCAAATGTTTTCGTCATCATGCGTCGATGAGTCAATTTTTTTTCTTTCTTTCTTTCTCCGTTTCAGCAACAATCTGGCGAACAACACACAAATGCCATCGTTGACAGTTCGCTATGTCACATAGTACACTGTTTTTTTTTTCGTCTTTTTTTCTGACTGGGGCTTGCGATGGCAACGCCATCTATCGACCGATTCGAGTTCCTATTCTTATTTAAGAAGTAATTTTTCATTCAACAAGAAGAAAACTTTCAATAACAAACATACGGGCCTTTGAAAATTCGATAAAATGACTGGCTGATAGACATGACAAAATGGATTTCAAATGAAATAATCAATTTGGTCAACAACAGTTTCCAGTAGTTTTCCGATGTATGGGTATAGAGTTTGGATTTTGAAGCAATCTTTGCTTGGCTTGGCTTGAATTTTAACGTTCAAGTTCATGAACATGTCAAATAAGATGAAAGAAAAAAAATAATTTCGAACTTCGAAGAAACGATAAAATTCATTACAAATTAGGATTAATTCTATCATTTTATTTTTTTGAAAATAATTCGGATGAAATCTAACTACTTAAACTGGTTGTTGCTTGGCTGAGTTTTCTCTTCTTTGCAATCTGTTCATGATGCTTCAAATATGTTACAATCATCTTGATTTCGTCCAAGTATTCTTTATAATCGTTGCTTTTTTGTCGATTGATGTTGTGCCTTTCCAAAAAACTTTTCTGATCCGCAATTTCCTTGTCGGCTTTGTCGATAGCTTCTAAAAACTTCCACTGTTCGTCATATTCCTTAAATTTATTGGAGAGATCCGAATTCACGTTTGAACTATTTTTATATTGCGACTGAAATGGATTCCCTATCTATAAATGTAAACAATGAATGAATTAGTGGAAGAATCTTTTAAAAAAAATGAATTGCATAATTTTTTCTCAAATCGGAAGTAAAAAAAGTCACCTTGAAGTCGACAATCCAAAGTTTTCCATTCTCATCAGAGCCATAATTCGATTGATGCACATCAATTAGTTGTAAAATCTCTTTGAGATAATCCAACTTGCCAATTTCTTCAAAATATCTACGTTTTGCTGCTGTGCGGAAACCGAGAACTAAAATTGAAATGCAATTTTAATTATTTACAAACATAGAACTATAAAAAATGAAAGAAAAAAATTGAAGGAACATCATATAGTTCCAAAACTTACTGTCTGCCGTGGCAATGTATAATTCAAATGTGGAATTGTGAACTTTTGGAATAAAATGAACCAATGGCCCAACTCCAATAATCTGTAAAACCTTATACGCGAATAATTCACATAGGTTAGTGTCGTCACGTGTGTGACTCGACCTAGTTGATATACCAGAGTGTATTTTAACGTGGAATTTGGTTGTGGTTGTACCAATCGTGACTGTGCACATTCGACCTCCCTATAAAAGTTTAAAAGTTTCATTAAAAGGTTTCTAGTCGAATCATACAAACATTCAGAATTATATTGATAAAGTGGATTTACTTGAAGGCCTGGTGCGATTTTTCGGTCGCATTTTATTTTGACAGTTGGATTCGCTGGATTTGATTCGAACAAACTCAGAAAATATTGTGTTGCCGCTTGGTCTATGGCTCCACCAGTCAGATCTAAACAGTGTGCGTACTTTTCTTCAAAGATGTAAACAATTTCCTCAAAATTTGGATAGACCCTAAAGAATTTGGTTCCAATTAACTTCTTATATATATCCACATTTCGTTGGACTTCTATGGCAACGTTCCAACCTCTTTCGTATTTTCGTGAAATTCTCGATAACGCGTCTTCCACCGCTTTCCAAATATTCAACCGAGAATGTTTCTAACAAATTTTTTCATAAAATTCGTGTTGGTACAGTGAATGTACGTATGCATAATGCATGTGTGTAATGTTATAAAATCCATTTTTTTTAATAAATGAATTCTACAAAATCCAACACTAAATAGTGAAAAATAAAACATAAAAAACATACAAATACAAGAGTACTGCCATTTTCAATTTGGAGTTCGGATAGCAACGTTGCTTGAATTTCAAGATCGACTCGTACCATCCGTATGAAAACCAATACACTTTTTGTGCATGCTACTAATTCTTCTTCTTCACACTATGGTACACATAATCGTGCACAATGGAAGAGGCCATATTGAATATTTATAGTGTATTGTTATTATTTCTTCCAATATGGCGACTTACAGTATGTGTTAAAAAGAAGAAGCAGTAGCATTCCACAGTTTGCATACGGATGACTCGTACATCTTTTGCATCATGAACAAAGTGTATTTCTTGAAAACAACTTTCAAGGAAAAACACTTTTGTCAATTCCTTTTTCAAACGTCCGACATTTACATCTTTCATGGGATAATAAGAGTTAAAATCCACTTACCAAGTAGATCCGGTTGCGGTTATCGAACCGCACATTGCGTCACAACAATGTGCAGTCTTGGCAACTGTATTTCTTGCGCACATCGAATGCGGCTTTGATGCGGCCTTCGTTGTTAGACAGTCCATTGTGATTGATAAAATCACGCAATGCGCTGCAGCAGCTATTGAACGCCTTGCGTCGGCACACAATGCAGTTCAATTACCATTGCAATTTGTTGACGGTGCTCCATGTCCGCAAAGTGCTACGAATCACATGCTGACCAGGACAATTCAATATGCAACTGAAATTAATTTTATTAGATACTCGCTTCGCTCGGCTTGGGCGCTAGTTCGGTTTCTCTTCCGTTCAGTTAGTTTTTTTTCAATCAAGAAAGATGAATAAGAAAACTAAGCATTTCAGTGAGATGACGATACAATTTGACGTAAAAAGCAAAATTCAGTTATGAATGTTAGTCTGTATCATTTCGTATGTTCCATACTTGTTTTTTCAAAGCAAAGACAATTTTCTGGGAAAGTTGCTCCTTTTTCTGGAGTTGATTTTACACGCATTTTTTTCATATGTGAATTGGTGTTAAGTCGTGTTAAGATGACCATGATGGACCGAGATGGTGTCCTTGTTCATCCCCGTTCCAAAACCTTTCATATGACACCCATATTGACTATTCATGGTGTTAAGTCGTGTTAACATGACGATGATGGACCGAGATGGTGCCCATGTTCAACTCTGTTCCAAAACCAATATTTCATTGCCATCAATCCACATTAATGTACGTTGTATCGAAAAACAATTAAAAAAAATTGTTTCTTCAAACTTTTAAAAATTTAATTCGAAAATCAAAACTGATATGTGAATCTGCTATTTAAGCGGCGAGAATTTTAACGACATATTCACCATTAAAACCAAGAATTAAAAAATCATGAAAATAAAAAAAATAGGACAAACGCACACACGCATACACACACAATGAGTTTTATATATATAGATTATTTTTTTTGCTAAGATTCCACTTAGTGGACTTTTTGTATGTTTACAAAAAGTTAACTTAGTATAGTTTTCATAAATATAAAAATACTTACATTAACCATTCACGCGACGTTAATGGACGCATGACGGACGGAGCTTTAATGTACTCCATAACCGATTTCACCCGCTTCGCTTCTAGCTTCCGTTGCTTTCCCACCCCTTGTGGACGTTTGCGCTTTTGCGCTTGCGTTGGCATGGGCGAGTCCGGCCGGCGTGATGGTCCTGCTTCCGTCATCGTGCTGCTTGCCGACGGCTCCTCCCTGCTTGTGTCCATGGCTAAATCACTCGCATTGACTGTGAAAATGAATTAATCTGGTAAGTATACTTTTTGTTTTTTTTAAATGAAAGTCCACTTAGTGGACTTTCTGTTTTTTTTTTAAATAATCTACTTAGTAGACTTTTTGTATACGCAAAAAAGTAAACTCACCATGAATTAGGCTGAAATCTAATCGGGCAACCGCCTGTGCTTGCAATGTACTTTGCAACTTATTGATCGTTGCTTGCGTGGTTTGAGCAGCATCTGGATCGAAGCCATGCGTCATGCCATGTTGGACAGATGAGCTCGTTGTTGAAGCCGATGAATGGCCGTGGCCACCACGTGTCACATTGATTCGCGTTTCCGCGGACATTTCATGTCTTTCGGTAGAGCCTTCACCCGCGTCTCTACCCTTCGCTTCAACCTCCGGTTCACCCGCGTCTCCACCCTCCGAGCCCGAGCCCGAGAGCAAACGCATACGTTTGTATGGACGCTAATGAAATGTTAAAATTGAGTTAGTGAACTTTTTGCTCATTTGCGAAATGTCTCCTTAGACTTTCAGAATTTTTATGCAAACTTACATTTCCTCGCGGCTGGAACTCGTAGTCGTCATCGTCACTGGTGTCATCGTCGGCGTTGCCTCGACTGAAACGTGATTGTCTTTGCTGTCCGGGTTTTTAACCTCAACTTGTCTACTATCATGCACCGTATCATTCTGGTCCTGAACATCAATCCGAAGTTCCATTTTTCCCGCTCTAAAATTTAATCAATTCCCCACCAAGTCGACCAACGATCTGAATTTTGCTGAAAATCAGCACATTTTTCTTGAAAATTTAACTTACGATACCACATTCGAATTTCGATCTGTCCTTTTCTATTTGTTCGTTTTGGATTAAAACAAAACCCCGTTCCAATTTCCAGAAATAAGGTTGAGGAAAAATTCAGGTCGTTGTTTGACCTGGTGTGGAATTGCCGATATATATGTCGCGCTCTGATATTGACATTTTTGGCCAAAAATTAACTGATAATGCACTTAGAAAATATTTGAAAACTATAATTACCTATTTTCTCTATACGATTGAAATTTCGATGTCTGTAAAACACACACTGTGCTTTCTTAACGTAAAAAATAATGGAAACGACCATACAGTGCGATGAATGGAATGAGGTATATTTCGTTTGTATGGTTCTACGGTGAATATATTTGTATTTTGGGCAAGATAATGTGGAATTGTTTATAAATGCACTACCAAAACATGCGTCGATGATTCAATTTTTTTTTCTTTCTCCGTTTCAGCAACAATCTGGCGAACAACTCACAAATGCCAACGTTGAGATGAATATTCAAATCTTGGTAGATTTGCCGAAATGACTTCGGGTAGGGCGATTTCAATTGTAGATTTTATGTAGTTTAATGTAGTGTTTTTACTTTTTTTATGTAGAAACAATTTTTTTGAGTAATCGGCTATCGAAAAACCACTCCGAAATGGGGATACTCAAATCTTGGTCAAAAACGCATTTTCCATGAATCAAATGTTTTTTCGAATGGAGAATGGTTTCAAAAAATTGTAGAATTCAAATCAATTGTCTGTTTTCAAATATGTCTGCCCGTTCGTAGAATCGGTAATATTCAAATCTTGGCCCCAAATCGAACTTTCCACAAACTGAATCTTCTTCTATTGTTGCTAGGTTCCATAAAATTGTAGAAAAAATGTAGAATTCAAATCAGTCGTCTCATTCTTGATGTTTTTAACAACTTATTTGATAACAGCAGTGTTTTTGTTTTTGAAGGGAGAAAAAATCGTTGACAGTTCGCCTAGGAGATAGACACAAGAACTGAGATACGTTCGTTTTTCAAAATACTTAATTGATTTTGTGTAGAGGTGTTCAGATTCGTGAAGATTCATTGAGATTTGAAGGGATTTGAAAAGATTTGTAAAAATCTTACTGATTTGTTTGACCTTTTTGACAAGTCAGCCATTTTAATTTGAGAAGATTCATAAGGATTCATAGAGATTCAAAAGTATTTGAATTTGCTCGAGATTTGAGATTCCTACAGATTTGAAAAGATCTAAAAAGATTCAAGTTTTAAATGTTGTGTCTACCCCCTAGCAGTTCGCTATGTCACATAGTACACTGTTTTTTCCGTCTTTTTTTCTCACTCTGGCTTACGATGGCAACGCCATCTATCGACCGATTCGTAAAGTTTGAGCTTTTTCATTCCGGTTTGCCTACCTTTCGGGCGTTTTTTTTTTCGATGCTCACATTTCAAGTTTAGGTTCGCTTCAAATATTTAACATTTAAACTGGTTTTACTTAGTGTTTAACGTTTTGTTTTCAAAACTTCTTATTTGAGAAGTAATTTTTAATTCGACAAGAAGCTATTTTCAATAACAAACATAAATTTCTTTGAACATTCGATAATATGATGCGGATGGAAATAAAATGAATGGATTTTACAGTAGTTCTCCGATGTATGGTCAAGAGTTTGGATTTTAAAGCAATCTTTGCTTGGCTGAATTGCATCTTTGGCGAAATTTAACGCAAAATTTCAACGTTCAAGTTCATGAACATGTTAAATAAAATAAAAAATTATAATAATAATGTCGAACATCGAAGAAACGATAAAATTCATTAGAACAACCTAGTTGGTTATTTCAAGGTCGCTTTCTTTGTATACAAATACATGGGAAAGATTTGACGTAAGACGCCAAGACGCCTCTACGCGTGGAATGCTCGAAGCTGTCATCGTACACATATTCAACACGAACATTGTCGTTTACACAATCGCACTCACACAAATGAACGCATCGATAGTGCCCGCTCAATATATGTACGATGACTGTTTTGAGTGTCCCTCGCCTAGAGTGCTGCGTGTCGTTTTTCTTCGTTTATTAAGCGATCTTGGTTATTTCATTTGAACTTCAGACTTGTTATTTGCGAATTTTTGTTGGCAATTTTTCCAAATCGATTTCGCATGAAGCACGAGCGAATATTGCGAATCGCAATTTGCGATATAGTTGGAATTTTGTTTTTTCATCTCAAAATGTTTACATTCTTGAACAAATATCTCCATTCCATTTGACGCACAAAACTCATTTACAAGTTAAGTAAGTAAAACAGATGTTTTTTTTCGGTTCTATTTTCTACTGTTTTATATACATTTACATTTTCACCCGAAATTATCGTTTGAACTCTATGAGCTTATGCAAGTATTGCACGAAAACTGTGTGAAAAAATTACCTATAAAGTATATTGATGACATCGCATCAAATTCATAACTATCTATTGTGTTTGGCAGAAAGCAACTCCAGCAACAACAACAAAACACGGGATTATTATCAGTTATTTATTGTCATAGTTCTGCGACATGAAGAGTCTCATTTTGGTTTGCCTGGCTCTTGTTGCCATTCAAGTAATTATCGTTCGGCGTTTTTTTTGTTCTGATAAAAGGTCGACAGTTTTTATATTGATTTAATTTTCGGTTTTATTTCTTTTATCAAAAAGATATCAGCAGCTCCAACTGAAAAGGACCTGTCGACTGTTATCACCAGCACTGATGCAACGAGCGATAGCGATGCGGCAAAGGAGTTGATCAAAACAAAGGATGATAAAGCGAACGATGTTGTAGAACCAGCACCAACACCAGCACCAACACCAGCACCAACACCAGCACCAACATCGGCACCGAAACCAGCACCGGAAAAAACGCAAGAGAAGAAAGTGGATGAAGTTAAGGAAGAAGAGAAGAAGGTGGAAGAAAAAAAGGTAGAAGTGGAACAAGAGAAAAAAGAAGAGGAGAAGAAGGGAGAAGAGATGAAAGAGGACAAAAAAGATGAAGAAAAGAAAGAAGACGAGAAAAAAGAAGAGAAATCGGTTGAAAAATCCACTGAAGAGTCGAAAAATACTTCCGAAAAGGCTGAAAAGGCAGAAAAGTCGGAAAAGTCCACAAAATCCGATGAAACATCGAAAGCTACCGATTCGAAGGAACTCGATCATAAATCATTTTTCGACTGCATATACCATATATTTGGCCATCGGCTTAGCAGTGATCCACCAAGCAGCACTCACGTGATTGAAATTTCCCTCGAGCCGCCCTCAGCTGCTCATCCAATTATTGATGCCGACGACGATGATGATGACATTGAAGTGATCATTCCCATCGCTCCAAAACCAGTTGAACCTCGACCACCAACCATGGTTACGAAATTGATGCATATGCTCAACTTTTTGAATTTCTTTCCATCGATGTTGGGACATGGCAGTCCAGAAATCGTGCCAACTCACGTCTACCGCAAAACAATAGTGACCCGTCACCTCAGCCCCTTTGCATAAGGCTAAAATATCAATATGTCACCGACAGATCACAATTAATTGACACAAAATACGCTATCTTTGTAATTCAATCTAATGAAATTGTTTTCTGTCACTAACAAGTTGTTAGTAACAACACATATTGTATTCAAATGATGAGCTTTTCATCAAAACCAAGAAGAAAAAAACACAGCAGATTTTTGATTAAAACAAAATCGCAGATTTAAAAAAGAAAAGAAAAAAGTTTTTTTTTATTTGATCGCGTAATAATCTGAAGGGAGTGAAAGGGAGATAGAGAGAGTTTCTAGGCGCTTACAAATACTATGAAATTGTCTAATCTTTGCAAATAGTTTTGGATATTTGATTCAAAGCTTGCAATTGTTTATGTCTTTTTTCGTTTTTGAATCGTTTTTTTTTGTCCCCTGGTGAATTCATCAATTTTATCTGGGTGAGTTGTACATTTGTAGCAATGATGACATGTCGAAATCAAAACCGTTTGAATCCTCGTGCACAAATGCCGATAAAAAGGTCCAAATTGATTGATACTTGCACCAATCGTACAAATTCAAAATAGAATTGTTTGATTTGCCCGTTTTTTTTTGTCTTTTTCAAAACGTTGGGATCACGAACGAAACACAAATGGTTTGATGCATATCCGGTTTGATTGCTCCGCACCCCTTCAATTATCTCGGTAAATCAGTTCCGGGTGAATAAATTAGAATCAAACGTGAGAATGTTTCGAACAAAAATTGGTAAGTGTAATGTTTTGTGTGTGAGTGTCTGAAGAAATTGATTCATGACACAAAATCAGTATCTGTCCACGGTTGTCCATCCAATCGAAACGCATTTTCTGATTGCCACGATCAAATGGTTCGCCGTTTTGTTGACTCGTTCAAATAGATGATCCAGTAGCTGATTGTGAACAGCAGAAATGTCATCGGAAACAAAATGAGCGAGATCTGATCGAGTCGCCCGTGTTGCGAACCAACGTATAAGATCGCATTTTCGGCCACATTTCGAAATCTGTAAGAAGATGTGTGAGATAGAGAGAAAGAGGGAAGCGAGAGAAAGAGAGAGAGAGAGAGAGAGAGAGAGAGAGAGAGGGAGAAAAGAGAATTATAACGAAGAATTATTGTGTGATGAACATTTGTTTTGTTTTGTTCAAAAAGATGGATATCTTTGGAGATGAATAATGAAAAAGGCGGAGACTAATTCTTCAACTCAAAATGTTCAAATATGTAAGAAAGCGATTCGATTGAATTTTCACCTTCGTCGATTTCCGAATAAAGTCGGTTGACTGAGCGATGAGGGCGGCGGTATACAGTTGGCTTCATTGATAAGCGCCTCCTCTCGTCTTTTGGCGGCCATTGTTGAAAATTTGGCCCGCGTCTCGGGTGTTATTTTGTTCATCGTTGAAAATGCTCGGGCGGCCTGCTCCAGCGCTGGCTTTCTCTACAACGAGAATTTCAATTGGATTTTTGTGGAAAGAAATTAAGAGAGAAGCAAAAGAATTAAGAAAGATGAAGAAAAAGAGGGAATGTGGACAAAATTGGAGAAAGTAAAGAAATTAGATTAAAAATTGGACGGACAGAAGAAAAATGGAAAAAATTTTGGCAAAAATGGGTAAAAGTCAAAAATATCCTTCATCGCAACCATACCTTTAGTGCAAACGCATTTATTGCTCTCCCTAACGCAAACGCCATCTATGCGAACATGAACACAAACAAATTGACTCCAGCTGCCAACCGATATATGAATCGGTGGAAATGAAGGCAGTGTATAAAAAATATGCCGAACAAAACGAACCAAAGCGTTTCCTCTATATAGAGATGTTGTTGTATTATAACTCTGTATGGATCAATTTGTTTGTTTTCATGTTCAAACTGAACAGATGGCGCTCGCGTTAGGTAGGGCAATCAATGCTTTTGCACTAACCGTATGATCGCAACCAATAAAAGTCACTAGAAAATAGAAGTAAAAATAAACAGGGAAGAAATTTCAAGCAATGATGCTTACATCACTTTCAGATGCTTGCGATAGGTTTGTTGTTGCGGTGGCCGCTGCAGCCGTTGATGTTAAATTATGTGATGGAACGGACGGTGTTTTTGGTTTTGCTTTGCGCCAATGCTTATCGTACCGAATGCCAAACAATACAATGAAGTACTCCATCAACGCCAAGAATACAAACAAAGTGCATGATATCAGCCACACCTATACACACGAATGAAAAATGGAACGAACAGAGTGTGAAATATGCATTTAAAATGAACGTTGTTAATTACTTCATTTGAATGAACGAATCAAATTGAAATGGCCATTCGATATGAATAAATTAGCAAAATGTATCATTCTTCAAATTCAAATACCTCGATGCATTTCAACTCCAATGCATTCGGCGAATTATTTCGCACCGTGTCAAACATTGTGACCAGAGACAGCAGTGTTGTGACCAATAGTACCTGCAATATTTTTGTTTATAAGAAGAGAATTGAACAATTTGATACAGACTTGATTTCATTTTAAATAGAAATTTTGCTCTTGTTAGGGAAATTCTTCTTTCATTTTAAAGAAATCTCTATTTTAGACGAAAAATATCAATTTCATATGAAAATGGCCCATTTATCATTTTTGCCCAGATTTTTGCAATGAAAACAGACCTTTTTCAGTCATTGTAGGGAGCTTACACTACCCTATTCTGATGAAAGCGTATTCTACCATTGTTTTGATAAAAGCCAAGTTGATCACTTGTCCGAAGTGAGCCCAGCCCAACTTACCATTCGCCCTGGCACAATTTCGGGTACGACAATGAAGCTGCCCCATGACATCGATACGAATAATGTGGATGGTAAATAGTTTTCCAGCAAATAGCTTTTGACTTCGCGTGATAATGTGATTTGTAAACGGGCCGACGAATGGTCAACGTCATTGTAGTGTAACGTTTGTGGTTCTTTTACGGTCGAAAATGATACGACATATTTTGGCAGGCGAAAGAAAAGACCCTCGTCGAAATCCTTCGGAAATGTGATGGGATTTTCTTTTTTCCATCGAAATGACATATCTTTTACGGAGTATTTATCTGGAATTGAAAATTGAACGGAATTCAACGGAAATCAATTCATTTTACTTTGTTCTTTCGAGTATATTTTTCGCTGAGACAATCTTCGAACGGTTATTTGGCCGGTAGATGCTAAATAATTGGTAATTCGAAAGGAAACTCTTCTTCATTTGCCAAAAGCGCATTAGAATCTAACAAAAGGCATTTCAAAATCCAGTAATTGAACTTACAACTGCTAAAATCAACTGGGCAACTTTGTACGTCCAGTGGATACAAAACGAAATCCATATCACATTTGATGACTATTGTGGCTCTGTTGTGTAGAAAATGAAAAATGAAACGCAATAGAAAAGAATGATCATGAATGGAATTGAAAAGTGTCTCCTTATAAGGAGGTGACGACAAAATCAATTTAACCGAAAAACCGAACTGAAATAATTTGAATAATTTACCCTAAGCTCAGTACCAACGTGCTGTTTTTATACAAACGCAAACTGGAGATTTCCTCGAACAGTGTGAGCACTTTCATTTCGCGCAGTTGACGTATGTAAAGATCGGGCACCTGTTAATGGAAATGAGTTCACCAATCAACATATTTTCGGTCAAGTGATTTTTTTACCACAAAAAAATATCAAGAAATATTGATTTTGAATGGTTGAACGTGATGGATATTTCCAGGGAATGATTTGCGTTAAAATTATCTATTTGAATTGAACCATTCCCTGGCCATTTCATATGTTCTGAATATTTCTGATTCAATGATCAAAAAAAGCAGAAAAAATCGTTGCATTTTATTCAATTTTCAATCGATCACCAATCACTTCGATCAAAATCAATTGAATCTGCCGTGTGCCTGCTATAATGATCTGATGCAACAGATATGCAAATGTCGACATGAACCAAATCCAAATGCCACCGATAGACTTGATGTAAATTACCCATAATTTGTGACGTTCTTCAAGTTTCAATTCAATATATTTTTGTTCGATGGTATTGTTACGGTGGTGTATTCTCTTGTCGTCCCAAATCACTTGTAGAAAAACGTCAAACGAAATCTCCTGTGGAAATAAAATGAAGAAAAAAAACGCAGTGCAGCGCATTAGTTCGCCCAATGAATCATTCAACGATCATCGTTAGATCAATTTGCGCAAGTGGCAAATTCTTCAACGCAAACACTGACACCAGCGAATGTTTTGTTTTGAACAATTCTTGCCATCTGCTTCAAATGAATTGATGAATATTCACAAGAAAATTGAATATGAAAACCGAAAACCGAAAACGAAACGAAATAAAGTAAGAAAACAAAAGAAAACAGAGTTAATAATTCTGAAATTCAAATAAGTACTTCATTATTTTCGTCTACAGCTGAGATACGATTCAAATACAAGCCTATAGTTACGTCTGTTTGCGAGGTACCTGTTGATTTAGCACACAAAACACACATACATATACACACAAAAACGGTCGCACACGAAGCACGCGCGAGCATGTGTCCGCATAAAAACCGCCACGAGCAACACATGAAAAGAAAAAGAAGAAAGAAATGGAAAAGAAAGAGAAAAAAGGGAGAAATTGGTGAAAATACCCTTTCTACACATTAATTAAATGAAATGCATTAATTTTTGCCACACATTCATTTATCCTTTGAAAAAAGGATCGACTTAATTTGATTGCATCAAATGGTGTAAATTGAAGTGGTGCTATATGTGCGTGTATCGTTGTGGTTGCGTTGTGCAGTTTGAATTTCATTTCAAGTAATTAGAGAGTTGTAATTGTGTGATTGGCGGCGATAAAAAGGCGGTCAAGCAACTGAGAATCTGGTTAGCGATATGGAAGGTGGAAAAGAACGATGAAAACTTTCGTTCTAGATTGTAAGTAGCGCTGAAAGCAGTAACAAAAGCCGAAGTAGCAATAGCAGTAGCAGCAAAACGATGGCAAATCGTACGCCTTTTTACCACAGAAAATGTGCACGGAGGGTGACTTTGAAAGTGTTAAGCACATACACACACAGACATCAGCTGTTTTGGCAGTGAATGCACTTGAAAAGTCGGCTACCAACTATTCCGTCGTTGTTCTACCGATTTTTTTCTGCGATCGAGTGGGAGAAGAGTGTTGTTGAACAGAGATAACTTTGAATGTTTCTAAGGCGAAAAAAGGAAGCCAAAAAAAAACGGAATGTGATTGCCTTGCGGACAAAGACAATGTCGATTTATGAAGGTAAAACTGAATTATATATATCGGGAAACGTGCACAACCACCGAAAAATAAAGCGTTTATTGCACTAAAAGAGTAAAGTTCTTGGGTAAGCACCCGTGCGACGCAACCAATTCATAGAGAAAGAGATAGAGAGAGAGAGAGCAGCAAAAGAAGGAAACCCAGCATAAAGCGAATAGAACCATGCAAAGCAAACATAAACTTTAAATCGACTTTCACGCTTCAATCACCTGGGGAAAGAGAGTGAAGGAGAGTGAGCGAAAGAGCAAGCAAGCAAGCGAGCAAGCGAGCAAGCGAGCAAGCGAGCAAAAACAAATGCGCCAAAGACAGACGACGGCAAAAACGAACGAATGCGAATGCTAAACACGACAAAAGATGCACGATACCATACACGGCTTTTCGTCTTCTTCGTTTCGTTTCTTCGGTTTTTTTTTCGGCAATTACGCTATTGATTTAATAATTTTTATTTGATTTCGTTGATTTCGAGTTTTTATGAAATCATAAACGAACCAACAAAGAAACCGACAAACTCAACTCATTGAACAGTTAATTTGTGTCTGTGTGTGTGTGTTTTTTTTTCTCCGGCGAACAACAAAAAATGAACTCAATCACTTTTCCCACACAAACGAGGAATGTTCAATTCAATGCGTTTCCCTTTCGATGTAAAACCATGATTCCTTTCGATTGTCAATCAAGCGCAAATTCCTTCGACTTTTCCGAAATCGACATACTTTTGTTACTGTTGTTTTTGTTGCTACTGCTTTGCATCACACAATCGACATTCATTTTCGCATTTGCCAACACTTTCATGGGCAAAGAAACTACAGCAACAACAAGAAAAACAATGAAAGTAGCAAGCGAAGCAGAAGCAACGAAAAAAAGCACCACGAACAATGTTTCGCCAAACACAACAAAGCATACAAAGTGCATTAACATAACACGGTGCAACGATACTATTGGAATCCTTACTTGGTCTGGAATTTTTATCATAGCCCGAATCCATGGTATAGGGTGTCTGGATGGTTGATTGCGGTGTCATTGTTATCATCTTAATTTTGAACAGAATTATCGCACTGCAAATTATGGGAACGTATTAATTAACTTTTGTGGGTATTAAGTTTTTTATTTCGTTTGAAATCACAACGAAAATTTTTGCATTTGTGCAAAAACACCGAAAAACACCGCCGATTTGCCCATTTTAAGGGAGATTCGAGTGATTATTTGGTACAATTTATTGAATTTTGAAACGTATCTCCACTTTTTCCATTTTTCCTCAATTTTTCTCATATCTTTTCAACTTTTTCAGTCAATTTTCAATGTTGACTTCAAGAAGAATGATACATTTTCAGAATTGAAGCTCTTTAAGACAATGCATGAATATGGTTGACCTATATTTCAGTTGAATTGGGTTGATTTGAGCGCAATTTCAATATTCTTCTTATCAAAAAACATTTTTTTCTAAATGAATTCATCAATTTCATTTTTTTCGTCAATTTCGAACTCAAATCATGCTGATTCCCCGTAAAGCATCAAGGTTAACGAACGAAAAATGAGCGTAATTTGTTCAAACAAAGCGAATGTTGTTACGCACATTAGCTTTAATTGTGGAATGCGACAAAGAATGCGACACCATAACAAAACTGTTGACAAAAACATAATGGAAATTGAAATATGTCGACCAAAATTGCAGCAACCAAAATGATAATTTTATGTCTACACATTTGCCATGACTCATGACATGAATTTGTTTTTCTTTAGCATTATTGAGTTTTGTTTCGTATTGCCGACGAAGAAAAAAATTGTTAATCATTTCTGTCGATTCATTCCTATTATGAACGACATATGTTTTTTTCTTCCAAAGTTTTATTCGTCTTTTCGATCGATGTATAGACACATGAATGTTCGCACCATTCTATTTGATTTGCTCGATGGATTTGGTTGTGTGTCTTTAGGTTAATGGAACCATAGTACGCATCACTGATATGGGTTGTCATCGATGCATGTAGAAATAGCATTTCACTAGCAAACTACACTGAATTGATTAACGTACAAGCGTGATAATTTTTCGCAACCATAAATCAACCGATCGAATGAATGTAAAACACACCGTTTTGTTGATGAATCAACCTTTATTTTAACCGCTGAATATCAACCGTGTTGAATCAACACGGTTTATTCGATACAGTGTGAACCTGTGAACTTCACACATGTTTTCGTTGTGAAATTGACAAACAAAGCACACGTATAGAACACATTCAGTCTTTGATAGAAGCCAAAGAAGGCAGCATGGCTCAGTCTTACACAGTCTTCGACGCTTCTATAATTATGCATGAAAATCCTGATGCGATTGAAGCCATTAAACAAATTGTAATGAACATCAATGGAAAAAATAATCTCTTTTATGATTCAAGATGAAGTGAAATTCAATGGATAACAAATGCTTTCTTTACCTAGAGACTAGACACGGGATTAGAAAAAACGGCGATGGATCTATTCGCATACGATTTCTTGCATGAAAGCAATGGAATGAACTATGACTATTCTGAAACATTAGGATTTATTTTGACCATGCTGTCATTTTGACCGATCGAAACTGATTTATTTAGATTAAAATGGATTTAGTTTATCGATAAAAAAATTTGATCCAATAAGTATACCCTCTGGTGCTTTCCATGAAATTTCTGACAGCATTTTGCTGAGGTAATTTTCAAATCAACTTTTGAATCTCTATTCCCTTTTTGTTGCTATTCTTCTTCTTCCTATTTCTCGTTCTTTTATGTAGTTCTTTCATTTTTATTTCATAATAATTATTCCTTTAACAGCTTTTATTTTCCCTTCAATTAAACGAAGCCATAGATGAAACTCCTCATACTACTGTGTCCAAAAAGTAAGGTGACATTGCATTTATTTTGAAAATTCTTTATTTATTCTTCCAAATCAATTTCATCGCCTTCAAAGTAATCCCCTCCCGATACAATGCACTTATGCCAACGGATTTTCCAATCTTCGAAACAGTTAAAAAAGTCGACTTCAGGGATGGCCCTCAGCTCCGTCTTCGCTGCGGCTTCAATCTGCTCTATCGTCTCAAAACGGTGTCCCCGGAGCGGTCTTTTGAGCTTGTTGAACAGCCAGAAGTCGCACGGTGCCAAATCAGGTGAATACGGTGGTTGTGGAACGATATGAGTCGAGTTTTTGGCGAAATGTTCACGAAGAATGATCGCATTGTGAGACGATGCATTATCATGGTGCAAAAACCAAGAGTTGTCTTTCCACAATTCCGGCCTCTTTTGGCGGATAGCGTTACGCAAACGACGCATAACACTCAAATAATATTCCTTGTTGACTGTTTGACCCGGGGGAAGGAACTCATAATGCACAACACCCCGATAATCGAAGAAAACAGTCAACATGACCTTGATTTTTGAGCGACTTTGGCGCGGTTTTTTTGGTCTCGGCTCACCTTTGGCACGATATTCGCTCGATTGGTCGGTTGTTTCCGGGTCGTAAGCATAGATCCAAATCTCGTCTCCAGTGATCATGCATTTCGTCTTGTCAATGTAGTCAGAAAGCATTGTTTCACACACGTCAACTCGACACCTTTTTTCCAAAAAATTCAATGATTTCGGTACCAGTCGAGATTTGACGCGTTTGAGGCCCAAAACATCCTTCAAAATGGTATTGACTGAGCCTTTCGATATGCCAATATCATCAGCAAGGTCTCTAATCGTTAATCGACGGTTTTCCAACACCAAATCTTTAATTTTTTGGACGTGAGCTTCGTCGGTTGAGGTTGATGGTCGCCCAGCACGCCCTTCGTCTTCGACACATTCACGGCCTGCTTGGAACTCACTATACCACTTGTAAACATTTTTTTTCGACATAGCCTCATCACCAAAGGCTTTCTGCACCATCCTCAACGAATCCGCAGAGGGAATTTATTCCGCAAACAAAATTTAATGCAAATTCTTTGATCAACAAATTTCGACATCGCAAAAAACGAGAAATTCACTTTTAGCAGTCCACAAAACGAAGCGTATCTCAAACACTAATGAATATTTTGACGTGTAATTTGGCAGGGATGTCAAAGACAGTCCTACCAACCTAAAAATAAAAGGATTTTTTCAAATTCCCCAGCGCGCTAAATTTTAAATGCAATGTCACCTTACTTTTTGGACACAGTAGTAGTTTCACAAAAAAAAACGAATCTGGAATTTCGATTCGAGATTTTGAAGAATGTGCTTGATTCGCGCTGAGAATATTAGTTCTTTACAGGAAGCATTGCATCAATCAACCATGAGCTTGAACAGATGAGGGCAATTTTGTTTGGAATGTTGGTTGTCTGAATATTCAAAATTGAAATCAGAATTTGCTTTAAGGAACCCATGTGGAAAATTATTGACTGACTGAAAGTAGGACGCAACTCGCCGCTGAAAACTGTAGACTCTACACATAAAATATTTCGGGAATTGTACAGTCAGTCTAGTCTACTCTCAGTTGCGGTTCTTTTTACTAATAAGCGACTTTAGTAAACCGAGCAATTTTTCTGTATAAAAATAGTCGACTTTGATGAAATTTTAGCCAGTCGCTTAGTTTGAGACGTATCTGACTGCAGTTACCTTGTGATTGCAGTTAACAATGATCATTGTTTTTGTACTAGATAATCACTGTTAGCCAGTCGAATATGTCCTTAAATAAACGATTGGTTGCTCAGTGATTTTGGATATGAGGATTAATAGTGGCCAAATGTCAAGAATTTAGAACTGTAGAGCGGGTCTAGTCTGGAAATAATCTTCATAAAACTGAAAAATCCCTCCACTTGTCCATGTCTGACTTCAATTGTAATATCTATTTGACATTACTAGATTTGTACAAAATTCAACTGGGAAGAAATACCGAAAAAATCAACAAAGTGCGCTAAATGCAACCTGTGCTTCTCTGCCATAAGAACCAATGTATTCGACGTGACAGTGAGTAGCGGTGGCGCCTAAATAGAGTCTGCGGCAAGTTTAAGAACTATCAATACTTCTTGTTGTTGCAAAATTCATGACAACAACAACAAGTATTGATAGTTCTTAAAAATGCCGCAAATTTGCTAATATATCTTATTTAGGCGCTACCGCTATCTTGCGCCGGCCAAAAGTATAGGTTGGCTAAATGGAAAATATTCAGCAATGAATGCTCTAACGGCATCTATACGGTATAATTTGGAAGTATAAGTGAATGCTTTCGTCATAAGGTTTCAAACGTCATACATGATTTAAGTTAGTAAACTTCTGATAGGGACAAAAGAAATGCAAACTGAACTCTAAAAGGTTTTGGATTTGCTGAATATATTACCATTGCGATTCACTGTGTTGGAATTTTGTTGTTGTTGTTGCGATTTTTCGTATTTTATGCGCGTTTTTGCATTTTGTTCGAACGATGAATTCCTTTCTATTTTTGTACTTTATTGCCAATGAAATTTCTGTATTAATGTTTTTATTATTGGTCAATTTCTCAATTTGTTTTTCATTTCGACGCAGCTGATGTGGATTTTATGCGATAAAATTCCTATAAATAATCATAACTACTAGTATAACAGCAAGCTTATTGAAGAACACACATACGTTTTAACAGGAAAAACTCCTGTTTCGAATGATGAAAATGCTATTTTTCGCGCTACTTAAAACACAATGTATGTGTACTCCACGATGTACGGCAAAAAAAACAATGTGTAAGATGACCCTGAAGTTGTCGGCATCTCACACAGCAGGCGACAAAAATGTGCGATTAAATTGGTAATAATCCGGTTAATTGTTCATAACAAATTGCATGGTGCACTTCGGTAAGTCTCGAAATAAGTGTTATCGCCAAGTCGAAGAAAAGCCCATGAAAACCGCAAAACTTGTTCGTTTCACGAAAGCTTGCGTTGTTACAGAGGAAGACGAATGATTAGCTCGAGACCATAGAAATTCAGCACCCAGGTTGATTGATGGTATATTGATTGGCACGTGGACATTGCATGTGTGCTACGCGCCCATATGCAAATTGAATTTGAAGAAAACAACAACAACAACAACAACAGCAGCAACAACAACTCACAGTTGTATCAAGAACACACCCAAATGCATGGAGTTATGGGTCAGAAAAAATTTTTAATTGATTTGTTAATTTGAGTTTGAAACACAGTGCAGCGTAGAAGCAAACAAAATAACCAAAGTAGAATGGTAATTGAGTGTTTTGCGACTTATTGGCGTGAGTTGGCATACGTTGGTTTCCGTTCGGCGAAATTTTTCTCTCCATTGCCGTCGTCCATTGGATGCGTGCATGGTGAAAGAATGAAAATAATGAACGAGGGAAAAATATTTAATTTATTTGTTATTGAAACCGAAGTTAAGTAAAACCAAATGATTTCCTTGCGTTGGAAATGGAAAGTATTGTTGACAGGAAGGCGTTACAAATATACCAATTATTATGCGGATTTATGACGGTATGATCTCGAAATGTAGGCTGTTGATTGGCCAATTATATAATTGTTCCACTGCATCGGCAAATTAGTGTATTAACACTTGACCCAATTGTGGGTATTTGTTCGTTTGAAGGCATAACTGAGAGGCGATTTGGTTTCGGCACAAAGCATCAATAATTTTGTACAAGTCGATCGGCCTTTGTAGTGAAAGTTTTGCGCACGGAAACCTGCAACTTGATGCAAACAATCCGATGAAAGCTAACAATTCGACGAATGATTTTTAATAATGTTTCGTTAGACACGTGGTCTACTTGACCTGAGATGGGAACTGGACATAACTTTTGAAATGTTTAACCAAGTTTCAACAGTTCAATGAGTAAATTTTCATCAAAGAAATTTTTCACAAGAAAAATGCTACAAGAACTTGTATAATATAATCGTCGGCCATGTTCTCGTTATACCACGTTGCAACGGCCATTCTTTACATGGAAATGAATCGATGCCCATCTTTAATCTCAATCGATGCGTTAGATAATTAAATTGATGTAACAGTCTTGCACTCTTTTGTGGCCAAAACCCATTCAGTAACTCAATTATATTCAGCCAGAGCTTGGCGGTGTTGAATCAAAAAAAAATGGAGTGTGCTTATGTAATTTTCAACGTCACTTTGTCAATAAATCAAACTTGTCGTTTATTCCATTGATACAAAAACTATTCGAATGCTTCGTATGATTAGTAATCATTTTGATTACTCATAATCTGAAGCTGTTTCTCACAATTGATACTTTGTTATCATTTCCGAATGGTCATAAAGAACAAAGTACACACATAGAAGAAGAAGAGGAAGAAATAGTTTAAAAACAAACATCGATAAAGGTCGGGTGCGCGACAGGCTTGAATGAAGGCGACTACCTTTTTTGTTTGCTTGAGTATGTGTCGGCAATCACGTAACACTTGAATTTATTGAGTGCCCGAAAAAACAACAACAACAACAACGAAGACGATGAAGAAAATTGCAATGAAATGCAAGCCAACGCGCTCACGCTCGCGTCAACAATTTGTGTTTTAAAAACCCTGAAAATCTCATTTCACCCATGTACTTCAAACTCGATTGCATGCACCGTTTGTTTTTTCTCCCCTTCTTCGTCACAATACAACATATATATATATATATACATAAAATACCTTGATTTTTCTTAATTTTATATATTGTATTTGATTTTCGAGTCGAATTTTCAGACACTTCTTCATTCTATTCTTGGTACACTTCTTCGGAATATTCTGTCAACGACCGTGAATTATTGCCACAATGCAATGTGCACTTTCGCCGTTGGCTTTTCACATTTGCACGAAAATCGTTTAGCACGTAATAACTTGTCGGCCGACATTTTGCCTCACACAGAACATTTATAACTGACACACACAGAAAAATCGTCTTAAAAAAAAATCGTGTGTAGGAAATGGAGGTAAGCAAAATAAAATTGGGCATTCAATTATCAAACCACTTTGAATCCATTTGAACAAACGTTTCATGGGAAATCCATTAAAATGACTCGGTTATTGATAAAAAAAAATTATCCAAAATGGATGAAAAATTGATGAATTTTCACCATGACGATTGAGTTGAAGAAAAATGAGAAAAAAAACGAAAACTCAAACGATTAAAGAAATGAAAAAGAAGGACATCGACCAAAATCGATGAGAGCGTCATTTTTGTTTCGAATCAAATGAAAAATCGAAAACGGCTTTTTCATTCGAATTCAACGAAAGGAAAAACTTTAGCTGGAAAAAAAATATTTTTTCTCTTAAAATTTCAATGTCAAAATGGAAGAACGACGACGACGAAGAAAAAAAATGGTTCGACTCACCAAATGATATCCAGCGACCGCATAATTAAGTTGCAGCTTAAATGTGATTTGCAGATGAAAATCCGTATGCGTTATCGATTATCAAAAATGAAATGGAATTGCAGCTGTCCTGAAAGAGGTGACTCTGAATGTTTCAGTTCGGCATGTTTGAATAGTGTTTTAATCCATCTGTTTGTATTCCCTTACACGATCGTGTCATATTGTTCACGTAATTAAAATGCAACTCTGCGTTACAACGATATCCACTGAAATATGCTTAATTTTTTTTTCTTATCGAAGGAACCAAAAAACGTTCGTAAACGCAACACGTGTCTACTTGCACTCTCACTCTCCAAAGGCACCACTTGAGCACAAACTGTGGTCGCCCCGAATTGCACACACACATCCAAGTTGCAAACTACGGACAAAACAACGAAAAACAAAAAAATGGAAATGCTCAGGGTAAAAAATGGAATGCAACGGAACGTCTTAATCATTCAAGAGTAGAAAAATAACTGATTTTTTGTTTACCTGCGCGAAATGTTCCGTGTCGCGTGTATTGCCATTTTTGTTGAGTTTTTCTTCGTTTCTTTTCTCAGAAGTATTAAATTTGGTTTGACTGCTTGCGGTGAATAACGGTTCATGCTATTCTCTCTTCTCTCTCTCTCTCTCTCTCTCTCTCTCTCTCTCTAACGCCTTTGTTCCATTCGCCAATACAATAATAATAAAAATATATAACACGGCACAACGCAAAGTATGGCTCAAACTTGCAAAATCGTGTGACGTGCGCATTACTCATTTTAAAACCGATGCATGTCCTTTGAACACATTATCTTAAATTTACATATCTTTTCTACCAATTCAATGGGTCTTGCGAACGTAAACCGACGTTTCAGTTTGGCACTGAGAGAATTTGATGCTGTGAATTATGGTTCAGTCCACTGAATATGACGGTTCTATTGAATTATTTTAGAATAATTTTTGTTTTCATTATGACGACCTTTTTTTATAGAATTAATCGCAGGTAATTCATTGCTTTCGACTTTTTTGTTTAAATGAATCACATTTTTGGATTTCTTTTGATTTCTGATTTGTTTTTATTTGATTTGGGTTTTATTTTTTTCATTAAATTTGAGTTATTTTTCCATCAACAAACGGATCAACTTATTCTATGCACAACCTTTGAAGTTGCCTTTAAGAGTGTATTTTGTACGCATTCATTTTTGCATGCAGCAAGTTCAAAAGCTTTCCGACTATGTGAATATCCACAATTCGTTAGCTCATAAGCAAAAACCTAGTCTGAGAATGAGCTTACGTGAAGGTAATAAAATGCTAAAGAATTCATTTCAATTCAATGAATATTCAATGCAAGAATGAAATTAAAAGTTTATTTTGAATTTTTTTCTTTTTCTGATTTTTTTTCTTTTTTGGAACGGTAATTGTTGAAATTGTTGCGAATATTCGATCATTGTGACACATTTCCCTGCAAACATGAATTGAATTGTTTGAAAAAGCGATCGACTAGAAAATACGCTCAAATTTTGAGTTGAAAATGTTCGACATTATGCAACCTGTCCAGTGGACAAATATTATGATATTATATAACAAATATTGCAAATGTGGACGAATGATGAAAATGTTATTTGTATTGTTGTGCGCAGCCCATAACAAAGTCTTTTCAGTTGGGTCAGATAAAAATGAATATAAATTTTCAAATAATTTAGTGATGCAATATTCAAACCCCAATACGATTGCGTAAACATAGAGCATTTAAGCTTTACACCTATCGGCATCCATCTATGACCAACACAAATCCAAGATTATAATAAGCAAATATTTAATATTCAATGCCATTTTACTTTCCACACACTCATCGTTACGATACATTATCATCAAACGCCAACAAGATATTGTCCCACTCTAATGATTGGCAGTGAAAGCATTTTTGAATGAAAAATATGACGAAAAAACAGTTCGAAATTTGTTCTTCAATCGAGAAATTTCGAAAGAAGGATTCGGAATAGATTTGAATTTATACTCAATCAGCATATCAATCAAAGCTGCTGATTCAAATGACATACACATGTGTATTAAATAGGGATTGTGGCGAAATGTAAAGATGAAAGCAAAAGATATCTGTTGATAACAAACAAACAAAAAAAAAACACGTTTCCGAGGACTTTCTTCGTTAATCGTGTGTTTGTTTTATTTAATCAATAAAAAAAAAGAAACACCCTTGAAGCTCAAATCAAAGTCGCATTAGGTTTCTATTGTGTGAAATTTACCAAGACGATGTTCGTATCAAATATATCCGAATGATTTTATATCATTGACGTACTCGATCATTTCTGCAGCTAATAATCAGTCAAATGATTGCACGAGTAGAACCTTTCAATTGTTATAGTCATAATCATATCTTGGAAATGGCCGGTATCGTCCGAATGATTGGTAATTGCCTTGCCTCTCGGCGTGTGTACAAAGTGCCAATTAAAAATAGAATACACAATAGAAATTGACTCACGTTGAGTCACATGAAAAATCAAAATCACTTGAAAGATCAAGCCGTATTGAAAACAACTATTTTTTTTGAACAATTAGTTTTCAACAAGTGCTTTTTAAGAATGACGAGAAAGGGTTTTTCTTAATATTTTTGAAAATAATCGAGTTTTTCCGAGGTGAACTCATTTGGCCGTGTCAAACCTTGTTACAAAACAAAAGTCGTATAAAAACTGAAAATAACGCAAAAAGAGTGATTCAAAAGAGTTTAAAGAAAAAAAAGAAGCAAAAAACAAAATCACACATCCATTTTATCGTTCAAATTATGTTTATTTTTCTAATTAAAAACATTTACAAACGGTATAACTAACGACTAACTGCATTAGTCTTTTCAGTCTAATGCTATGAGCTATTAAGCAGGTGTTTCGTTCATTTATTTGTCTTTTATTGTTGTTTCAAATAAATTAAATAATTTGAATAGAAAATATCAATTGTCTAACCATTATAGTCATCAGTTGCCTGATTCTCTATCTGATTGTGTAAGCTGTATGTCTCCTTACGTTATTATTTGTTTTTCGTTTATTGAAAATTGTTTTTTTTTTTGTTCTGAATGAATGTATTATAAGAATTGTCCATAGTTCGCTTGCAAAATAGATTCCAGAAATTCATCATAAAGATCTAATTACCAATATTTTAATACTCAGTCTTTGTTCGCGTGTGCGCTTTTTCGTTGATTTTCCATCGTTTAGATGATGATCTTTTCCATTTGGAACTTTAGATGAGTTTAGAGAGTTGACCAACATGGATGGCAACCACACTTGTGAGTGAATTGGCTGGAATGACGACACGAGCGTTGCTCTGTTCATCGACAACTACCTGTGTACCGGTGCATCGATTGTCATCTCGTTGTCCCGAAATGATATCACAATAGATGCCGGGTGGCAGTTTTGTATTAAGAATAGCATCAAAATCATTGTCTTCACGATTGAATGCGATAAATGCTCGATTGCCACGACTGAATGCCACATGGCTATGCTCATTGTCGTACCACATTAAAATCGGTGCATCGCCGGCTGCAATTCGGAAGCTAACCATATTTACCGTTGTATTCCAACGATGTTCACAAATCCATCCATTTCCGCATGAACCGTCCGCATTGATTATTGGTGACAGCAGATTTTCATGGTCATCATGTGGTGGTCCCATATCGTTAGCACCTTGTTGAAAATCAAATGAACTCATCACACGAACATTACCATACGGATGTGCTAATGCCCAAGCCGTTGCCATGCGATAATTCTTTCCATCACGGTACATCAACACCGTATCACCACCAGCACCATGGCCACGTTGATTATCATGATTGTCAACAAAAACTAATGCATCTTGATGATCAACAAATCCCCAGCCGACGCCCCAACTGCGTAACCAATGCATCGGGATATGACTACGGAACACACGACCAATATGTGCCGAAAAACGGAATTCAGTTATCGCACCCTGGAATTAAATTATCAAATCGAATTTATGAAAACGGGTCAATTGTTTACGGATCATCGAATACCAATTCCGTTTTGTATCGAATCGCTGAAACTTACCAATGGTGTATATTCGTGACATGAAATGCCTTCGCCACCGAGGTCGATAACTTCTTGTACGATATATGGTAGAGCACCGTCTTCAAATCCATGATCTGTGTTCAATGGCTTAAGACCTTTGTAAATGGCTTCCAAATCATGTGGCCACATATGTTTGGCAGCATCCACACGGAATCCGGCAACGCCCAAATCGATCAAATGATTCAAAAATTCAATGGTCTTTTCACGCACAAATGGATTCGTATGGTTTAAATCGCGTAACCCAACCAATTCACAATTGCGTACTTCGTTTGCATTATTATAGTCGTAGATGCTACACACGGGATTATTGAAATGTGTCTCGTTGAATCCAATGGCTGGATAGCGTCGGCAAAATGGATCGGCAATTGAACCGCCGGTGCCAATGTTTGTTGCGTGAATGGCAGTCATATGATTGATAACCACATCAACATATGTGCGAACACCAACGGCATTGCATCGTCGTACCATATCGGTAAATTCCTGCTCATTACCCGAACGTGTCAAGATCTTATGGGAAATCGGTTGATAGCGTTCATACCATGATCGACCCGGTATTATTACATTTTCTGTAACTGGTGACACCTAAACGAATGAAGAGCAATAAAAAATGATTAGACGATGTTGAAAAATGAATTTAATTGGTTTGAATTGAATTGTCTTATGAAAAACCAAGATGCAAACCAATTCGGTTCATCATTTTCAACAATGAAAAAACGAAATTCATTACAAACAAAATGTTCAAAGTCCAGAGTAATGAAGGACTCAAAGGAAATCAACTGAATGCATTACCTGAAAGCCAGCATATCCTTTTGGTCCCAAAAATCGTTCGCATTCCAATGCAATATCGTTCCATTTCCATTCGAATAAATGAACGATCACACTGCGTCCCGGTGCAAAATTTGGATTCTTCGAGCCTCTGCCGTGGCACATTGCAATTGCAATGCAGAACATTATCAATTTTAGAAACTGCATCTTGTTTTTTCGTTCATTCGTTCTTCGATCGATTTTTTTTTAATATTCCACTATTTTCCGCGATTCTGTTTTTCCCGCTTTCGATTTGTGTATGTGTTGTTGTTATCTAGCGAGTGCTTTGTCTGAAAGCTTGTTCCTTCTACTTCGACGCTGTTTGTTTGTTATGTCCTTTTACTTTGGAAGTAGATTGGCTTATGACTTGAATTGAATGGGCCAGCGTCCGTTTAAATAATCGGATTTTCAAGTGCTTTACCGCAGCATATAAATACTAGATTTTGTTTTTCGTTCGTTGTTGTTGCTGCTCAATCTCATTATCTTATCAAGCCAAAGGAAAAGAATGTGTAGTCGATTCCGTTGTAGCGTTTCACCTGTGTTTTTGCTTTTCGAGTAGATTCCGTGAATTTGTAATCGATTTCCTCTTGTGAAGCAGAATATTTTTTTCTCTTGCGATCGAGGAATTGCGTCATAGTTGTTGTTGGGTTTTTTTTGTTCGTTATGCTGTAAATTTGCAGACGATTCTTCTTGCTGTTTTGTTTGCGCTTTTGATGTGGTGTAAAGGTTGATCTGCTCCGTTATTTGTCTCAAGTGCGGACGGTAAAGTGGATTTCCACGTACTGGAATGTGTATTGATTACATGGGGCCAAAGTTTCAGCGCTTAAATTATTGTAATGGCTACGATCCTATCGTTTCATTTATCTTAAATATATCGAGATATAAAGTCTTCGAGCATTGATCACCGCAATTCGCAATAGCGAAGAGAAACTTACGCTATTTCAAAACTGTTCACAATTTACGATTACAATCGATGAAGGACGAATTTTTGGTTTCATTTATGAGGGAAAATTGAACCTATCACTCACTTAGTTCTGCTACTTTGTTCCATATACTTGAATGCATATTGCATTCATTCGATTTGCAAATGAGTTTGGGAATTTTCCCATCGTGATTTTTTACTTGATTTAATTCTTGGACAATTTTAAAATCTTGATGCAACTCAAGATTGAAAGTAAAAATTCTGAAAAAAGGAAGAAAAAAATGTCAGAAAAGCTCCAAACGAATCGAAAAACGTTCATACAAAACCAGAATGAAGAATGCATAAAAAAGTCAAATTCCAAATGTAATGATGTCATAATGGCCATAAAAGTGTGCATCTAATCTAGAAAAATGTTTCATTTCGAGTGGTTGGTGTTCATTCATTCATTTTTGGCACGTGTTCGTCTGCTCATTAATTTGTGTTGTGTGCATCGATAAGATTAAGTCCGTCAATGAGCCCAAATAATTACGATCGCGATTGTTTTTTTTTTCTTCGTCTTTTAAGCACTACATGAAATGTAGAGCTACTTATCTGCTTTTATTTTTCTTAATACTTTTTGAGTGATGAAACAAATTATGGTGAATTTTGAATTTTATGCTCATATTTTTTATTTAATTTAAGCCAAGGGCAGTATATTTCAAAAAAGAAATAAAACCAAGATCTTGTAATTCATTTTGCAAATAAATATATTACTTCAAAGTTACTTTGATGAAATACATTTCATGTAGTGCGCCAAAAAATAGTTTGTTGTGAAACAACAAAATAGATTAAGTAACTAAAAACTCAAGGATGCAGAGCAGACTCCGCGGAGCGAAGCGAAGCTCTGCGGTCTTGTTTATTCTCTCAGCAAAAGTATTTGAATTGGGCAATTGTATGTAAAATATCTAAGTGTCATTAAACAATAAACATATCTAAGCCGCGTCAATATCGATGCAAAGAGCGCTGTGATGAAACTCAGAGAGGTGTAATTTATTGATCGCGAGATCCGCACGTTCTTTGTGATTAATCATTTAGTCAACGCAGGTGATAATCAAGTGTGGCTCATTCAATTCCGTTTTTCAAGATAATTTGTTCGAGAAGTAATCAACAAATTGTTTTATAATGAATTAATTTCACATTCTCATTGATTTTGGGAAACAATGGCATTTTTGTTGTCGTTTTTTTCTCAATCAGAAATCGTTGAAGTAAAGTAGTTGAATATCCTGAGTTAATAATTGTTTCGTCTCGTTTCATTTTATATTTGATTGTTGTCTCGACAATTATACCTGCTGTAAAATATCCAAAAATGCATCACAATGTTTTTCATTGGAATTTCTGGGGTTTCTTCTACTGAAGATAGAGAAAGGACTGTCAAGTACGACGGAAAGAAGAGAGCAAATGAGTCAGAAAAATGTGGTTCAAACTAAGTGGCACTAATTCAATAGATTATATTAGTTTATGGTTCGGTTTGGTTTTTTCTTTCTTCGGCACAAAATACGATCCGACTCCAAAATAATTTATTATGACGATTATTCATGGAACACTACTACTTGACTTCATCCGCAATAAATCGATCGAAATTTTGATTTCGGCGAGGAATGCGATAAGATCACACCACGTCACCATTGTCTGGCTGTTATTTTGTTTTTATGCATTTCGTTCGGGAACTTCTTTTTTCCTTTTTTTCACTTTTTTTCACTTATTTTATGATGCCTTGAAGGGCAAATATACATATTTGCAGCTGGTTATTGATAATTGCGTAAAAACCTAATCAACACGAGCGTTCGTTATAATTACAACAAAATAAGAGTGCGATAGTCAAGAATAAAAAGAAGAAGTAAAAAAAAACAATGCAACCATAATCTGAACCAAATAGAAACACGTAAAATATTTTCAGGTGAATACATTTTTCATTCAATTTTCCGCCTATTCTTATCCTTTGAAATTTTCTTTTCTTTACGTCTCAATATTTTCAAGTGGAAGTGTGTGAATTGGGCAACTAAAAACATTTCAAAGAGAATAATTTCAATCAAATTAGAATCTATTAAATCAGAATTGATATTGGAGTCAGAATTTGAAAAAAAACAACATGTGATATCTGCAGCTACCGTCTATCGTTGGCTTGACCCATTTTCTCGTCATTATGTCATCATTCAATTCATTCAGGCTACAGGTGTCAAAGAGTCGGTAAATTTCATTTGAAATTCCAAAGGCATACAAAAATTACATATCATCCCGAATTTCGACCGCTGTTCGATCAAAATTTATTATCGAAACAATCGTTGCGCGCATTGCAAGGAAAAACGCGCATAAATAAAATTGGAAAAATCTCAACCATCGTACACACGGCCACACTTCAATCACAAGATGATCTCAAAGTGCGCATTTCGATAACAAGTGCACGCGTAAAATTCTGATTGAAAAAACAAATCAAATGATAGTAATCATTTTTAAATGATGAATTGCCTGTTTTTGGCGAATGGTATCATTGTGCGAAATAATATTATCGCATTCTGGTGTTTGTGCTCCCGTGTGAAAAAATAGTAATTGAGCAGTCAGTTAACTAATTTGGGACAAAAATGACTTACTTTGATTGGCATTTCAGTACAAAGTGTAGTGTAAGTCTATCATAGTTAACTGAAATCATTTGAACTTACAAGTCAATCCAAGTTGTTTCATTTGGGACAAAGTGATTTTCTTAGAACACAAACATAAATTCAATCAACTAAAGTCAACTGAAGTTATAGTCAGTCAGTCATTTTTTTTTCACACGGGCCGGGATTTATCAATACAATATTCATAACCATACCCATTTGCGAAATATAATCTGCGAAAGTGCAAATTATATGACACATGAGCGTTTTATTCGCTAGTTTTGGCCAAATTATGGAACAAATTGGCGAATGTGAGAAACAATCCTTAGCAAAAATTCACACTGAATCGACGTTGCGTTAACACATAATTAACACTATTCTCACATGGTTTTGAACGTTAAACCGTGTGGCTATAGTGTAGTAGAGTATAAAGTCGTTTGACATCATTTTTAATGTCAAATAACCGAGTGGATGCAGTTCATGTTTGTATTGAACAGTGTGGAAGTCCGCCAAACTGTTTTACATTTAAAACCATGTCGTCGAAGTGTATGATCGTTGCGTTATCATGGCGAATTTTGAAACCATTTTTGGTATCGACTCTTGATACCCAAACAAACTTACACTGCATCCACACGGTTATTTGAAAACAAAAATGATGTCCAACGGCTTCATACTCTATTATACTATAGCCACATGGTTTGACGTTCAAAACCGTTTGAGAACAGTGTCAGACATGCGTTAACGCAACGTCAATTTGGTGTGAATTTTTGCTTGGGAATCTCGATTGCGATAAGCACACACACACACACACACACAGGAACTGGGTGCAATCGACGAAGAAAAAAAAAATAATCAAATTCAAATGAACAAATACGCGCGACGGCATTAAAATTATGTATAGATTGTCGACGCGCTCTCACGCTCAAAAGTAGCGACAAACGATACATGTAATGATTATGACGACAGCATTATCACGTACGCCTCTTTGGATTGTGCCTAAACTAGCCTTCATTTTATGCAGCCAAGCGTTTTATTGCCTTATTAGTGTTTTTGTTTTTTTTTTCTTCTATTTTGATGTGTTTTTTTCCCTTCCGCTGATAGTATGTGTGTGTGTTTTTTGCTTTCAACATGTTGTTTTTTCATTGCCAGGGTCTTGTCGCCACGACTCTTATCAAATCGATTCCCAAATTGTCTCGTTACTTTGTTTCAAACATACGTTTTTGGATGGCTGAGCAGCTCAGCATATTGTATGCAGCGGATATATCGACGCAAGTCACTGTATAAGTGGTGTGCATTGCTGCGCGCAGAGTTTGTGTGTAGTCGATGTAGCTGTGCATAGCAACGCACGCCATTTATACAGGGACTTGAGTCGTCGATATGCTGGGATATATCCGCGGCATACGATATGCTGAGATGCTCCGCCATCTAAAAACGTATGTTTGCTTTGTTTCTGTTTCGATGTTTTTTTCCTCTTAATTTTAGTTATTTTTTTTTACTATTCGTGTCGCTTGGTTGTTGATCTGACGTTTTGTTGACTTCGTTGTTGGTACGAAATGATTTGTGACCATTAGAATATCAATGAGTATAAAAAGAAGACGAATATTCAATGCCAAAAAGAGGATTCAAATGTGGTGTAGCGTTTACTACGAGTAAATTTATATAAAACGGTGATTAGGATTAGATTGAACTTTTCCATCGTATGTTTTTTCTCTTCATGCAAAAATTCGATTCAGGTTCAATGCTGAATAAGAATTAATTACCTAAATTCCCAAAGGAAACTTGGTTAAACTTCAATTTTTGTGATTTTTATTACATGTTCTTATACAGAATCTGCAATTTTTCTACTTCAACTCAAGCTCCACCAAGCTTATTAGCTTCACTCAAGCTCCATTGTTATTAAATAAGCTTGTTTGAGGCTACACTCAGCCGATTGACTCTACTTCTTCAACAGTATTCCAGAAAGCTAATCGCAATTTCGTACCTTTCACAACATTTGACAAGTTTCCATTAGAAAATCTACTGAATGGTTAAGCTATTTAGCATTTGAAGCTTTTTTTTTGTCAATTCCTCATGTGCAGGTATAGTAGCGTACCGTTAAACACCTTGAATTATGCAATTCGTTGGCATACATTCCAATTTCATAACCAATTAGCCAAATTTGTATTTTCAGTCAGGATTTTCGTCATAAGACGGAGTAAAGAAGCCACTTGTCAACGATATTTTTTTTTCGAGACTTCAAACCGTTTACATTTATTTTGATATTCAAAGTGTAAGCACATTCTATTTTCGAACATTAGTATAATATTTAATTATCCATGATATTATTTATTTATTGTAACATCCATATTTGTCCATGAAACTATCTACATTTTTATTTTCTGATTCAAATGCTTTAACTACAAAGTAAGATTCTTTGCGAATCTGCCCAAGATAGAAACAAGCGACGGTTTTAATAGAGATAAAATAGAAGAAAAATATTTTGGAAAAGAGTCAAATTTGGTTGTTCAAGTGTTTAAATTGAAAGTATTTAACTGAATAGAATTGAGTTCTATTTTAACATCCATTTCACTCCCTATCAAATATCATTCAATATCTCCTATTAAAATGCCATTTGGTCGATATGAAACTCGTGATGAATTGTATATCTGCTGTATTAAGCCCTGGTAAACCAGCCAAATGACTGCTACTGCTGCAATGATCAAGCCAATAGTGATCGATATCATCAAGAGCCACCGATTTGTTGGGTCCGTTTTGTGTTCCTGCAAGTAAGATCATTCAATGAATTTGTGTTTCTACAATATCTTTAATGTGTTCTAAACTTTCTACCTCATTGTTTTTATCTTCCAGCGCTCTATTATCTTTATCATCGAAATCGGTGCTTGCATTGTAAAAGATGCATTTCATTGGTCGAGAACAGTCTCTCAGTTGATCCCAATTGATGATTTCCGCACCTTCTTCCAAAAATGTGCACTCAAACTTTGAGGCTACAATGCCAGTCAGTGTTGTTAGATAGGCTGGACAATTGTCCACTTTTGCATAAGCTGGCGTAAGCCAACACAAATTATCCAGCTGTCAAATGACGTCAAACGTATTTAAACGCATTCATTGCTTATGGTTGGCTTACGCTTACATTCTGCATAAGCCAGTGAATGGACTACGGTGGCGTATGCCATTCCATCACTGATGCCAGTTATTTTCGTAAAAAAGGAACTCGTGAAGCCATTTAGTTCGCGCAGTTGGTTGTTTCCAATGCAGAGCTCTCCCAACTGTGTTAACTCCAACAGCGATGTAAGAATATTTGAGTTCAAAGTTTTGATTTTATTACTCGTTAAGTCCAATGTTTGTATGTTGATTTGATGGAAAAACGTGTTCGGTTCCACTTCTGATAAGGCTGTTTGTGATAAACTCAATCGTTGCAATTTTGCTAGTTTCAAGAATGAGTTGTTGTTGATCTTTTCAAGCGAATTGCCTGACACATCCAATACTTCGATATTTTGAATACATCACCATGAAAAACGGAATCGTCAAATTTTTCGATTTTGTTGAAAGAAAAATCGATTTCAACCAGATTTCCTGAGTTGTGAAACAACAAGGGCGGAATTTTGACGATTCGATTATGCGTCAACAGCAATATCGTTATGTAGGAGATTTCGCTATCACAGGCCGTACAATCTCACCATAAATACAATTGAATCATACAAAAGGGAACGATAAACGAGATTCCCGCTTAGTTTCAATTTCATATTCGGTCCGAACAGTTTGAATTTCGTGTTCTGTGCCTGTTTCTGAAAAGATGTGATTTGTTATAGCTTGCGTGTTGGCCAAGGAAGTGTATGACTGTTCTTGGATTTCCGCTGCGATAAATAAACAAAACCATGATAGAGTGACCAGAAATAAAAATGACGAAAGTCAAACGGATAAACTTATCACGATATTTTTTGTGTTTTTTTATGTTACATTTATTCTGTTCGCTTTCAAATCGTGAAATATCTTTTGACTATTAAAATCATGTTTCACTTTAATTGAAATATAAATGTTCGATACACTTTCAAGTCGATTGGACTGATGATTCATTTTAATGGTGTTTTTAACTTGATTCGGTTTTCGAGTGTTAATCAACTGATAAGGAATGCCAATTTCGAATTTTACGTTAATAAATATTTACATTTTAATAGATGCGTTAACATACTTCGGAAACACCTGGACTCTTGATATGTTGCACATCGATCCTATGGTCTTTGAATGGTAAACCAGAAAAGGTTCACCGATCCGAAATATTGACGAATTTCAAATAATAACGGTAGGTGCAATTCAAGTTGTTATTCGTGATATCCAATTTAGTGAGTTGTGGATATGAATGCTTAGTAAGACCGTCCAGTTGCGTTAGGTGATTTTCGCCCAAGTTAATTTCTGTCAAGTACCCAAAATTAAACGAGGTGGAGAGATTCAATTTTGTTAAATTGTTGTAGGAAATATCAAGGTACTGCAACTCAGTGACCAAAGTCTAGGTCTTCTTGTTCTTTCTGCAGAGTTATGTGGGAAAATCGAATGAAAATACATTTAAATGAACCATGAATACTTTGGAAATTTCACTGCGACGCATAAATTTATCGATTTCTGATGTTCAACCCTTTTGAAACATTGGACTTTAAGTTTAAGTACCTTGGTATTTCTAACAACAATTTGACAAAATTAAATTTTTCTTCTTCGTTTAATTTTGCCAAAGATGAGATTAACTTGGGCAAAAACTGCCTAACGCAACTGGACGGTCTTTTTAAGCATTCATATCCACAACTCACTTTATTGTATATCAAGAATAACAAATTGAATTGCGCCTATATATCCATGTGCAGAAAGACTAGAGATAACCGGAGATGCGTGCTATTTGATGACATTCAAAACCAAACGGACACCAAAGGGGAAAGCTCTTCAGTGGACAATATCACAGAAAGCAGTGTACCGATAAGCACTCTTCAAACTGAAAATGAGAATGAAGCAGAAACAGAATCCACAATTGCTCCTGAGACATATGTGCCAAATTCTTCTTCTGTTGTTTCGTATGCCGTTCCGATCGGTGTGTCTCCTTTGATCATCAATGCTGCAGCCGTTGTTGTCTTCCTTCGTCGGAAATCATCTTCGAAAAACAGCGAACAAATGGAAGTTTCTTACCGCCAAAATGACAATGGCAAAGAGCTACAACCAGAGCCAGAGACAAATCCATAAGATCATATTTACGAGGAAATCGAAGAACGAGAATATCTTTATGACCACCTGGCATTCGAATTCGATCCCATGCCGATATCAACTGCAAACCAACACTATCACAACTTCACTTTGGTCAATCGGGATCGTGGAACTCAAACTCAAAATGTAATTTACATTTTATGCGTACACAACGCAACACTCAAATAGCTTGTATTGACTTTTTTTTTTACACTTTATCATTTCAGAGTTGTGGAAATCAAGGCTTCTCAACGTGGAATCCATCCAAACTACCAAATCAACGCAACTTCATTTTGATACACTAACTGTTTTGTATTCAAACAGACAAAATGGTGGTCATGTAAATCATTTCTGAAAGCCAGTAAAAACGACTTTGTCATGGGCTGTACAGTGTACACGCTTCTAAAAAATTTCGTAAAAGAAAACACCTTCTATTTATGAATGAATTCAATATTTGACTTTGATAATCACCCTAAAAATGCTAAAAATTATTAAATTATGAATAAAAACAATAAAACAATAAATAAATTGAAAGTGTTTGTTTTCAATAAATATAGATACGCTCTATGAGTATTGAGTAACCATAATCGTGGACAAATTGCATAAAATGATTTTCATTTCATTTAAATTGTTTACTCTTTGATTGCTAGAATGAAATCATTTTTTGATAAAACTTATGAAAAAGTTTCTTATTTTGTGACTCAACAGTGGAATGTTGAATGGACGAAAAACACGGAAATTCCCAGATTCCAACCACGTCAAGATCAAACTTTATCGGCAATATTTTGTAACATGAAATTGAGCATTAAGAACGCATTAAGCTGAAGGTTCTTTATGACGAAAATATGTATTTTCTCTTGGAATTGATAAACGAAAGCTTTGCTTACTAAATACAATTGAAATATATAAAAGGGAATAATAAATTAGATTCCTGTTTAGTTTCAATTTTATATTTGTGCCAAACAGTTTGAAATTCGTGTCCCGTTTGACAAAATGAGATTTATTTTAGCTTGCGCGGTGATTTTGATTCCGGCCAAAGAAATTCGTGGCTGTATACGGATCGATGGTGCAATAATAGCCAAAAACGTGAATCGCGGCACATTGTTTGCAGTGATGAAATGAATGATTTCGATTGTGATTATTATCCTGTGGAAGTACTAAAAATGGAGAACTGTCCTGCCGAGTCGATCGAAATCCAATTTATTTGGTATCGAAATGTGTGCACGTTGGACATTTCGTTTTCAGAATATACAACATTAGGCGACTTACATTTAAATTTGGAACATTTGAAGCGGCTAAATGTGTCTTACTTAACAGAAGTACAGATTTACATTTTGCTGTAACACATTAATATTGTAACGAAGAGCCAAAGTAATGCTATTACAATTGTAATGCCAAAATTTAGCATTACCGGTAATGTGTTACAATTGTAATAGCTATTACTTGACCCGTCCGTTACAATATTAAGATGTTACCTAACATTAACGGTAATGCCAAAAATCTAACATCATTAATGTGATTTTCTAACATTACACACGCAATATAATGCCAAATGTAATATGTCACGTGGCAAAAAGTTTCATACAAAAATCAACATTTTTTCAACATTTTTTCGTCTGACGAAAATTGACATGTTTTTTACATGAAACTTTTTTTGCGATTTTTTTTTTTGCACCAAAAGTAATAAGATACTTATTACAATCTTATTACTGTAATAAGATGGTCTTATTACTTATTACAAAGTAATAAGATGAGTAATAAGTAATAGGTTATCTTATTACAGTAGTAAGTAGGTGGTAAAGTAATAAGAATCACATTTTTTTACTTCTATACATCAATATAAAGCAAAAGTATGAGTAATAATAATAATTTAATTTATTTAGATAATTTCCATAAGTACATCTTTTAGTTTGGTTTTAAAGTAGTTCGATCATTAATCGACGATTTTGGAGTCATTTTTGTGGCGTCTCCACTCGTATTTAATTTCCATTGTTGAAGCTTGCTTGTCAAAGTTCAAACATCATTACAAACGTATGGAAGCGGAGAAAATGACGCCAAGCTGCACGAGGTTATTTATCGATTGATACTTCATTTCTAATATTAACAGGCAAGCTATTAAATAGCAAAATCCCTTTATAAAAGAGTGAATTTTGGCTACATGCTTTGGTTGCATTTATCAATTCAATGTTGTTGCGGCTTCTTAATGTGTTTTTCCTTATATTTTGATTATTATAGACTATTCGTTCGGTTAAATATTGCGGTGCAAATCCCTTTGTAATTTTATATATGAAAAACAATGTATTAAATTTGATTAGCTGCTCAACACTTAAAAAATTTAATATTTCTAGCATATCTTCTTCATGCGAAAATCTATTAAACCTTAGGATATTTCTCATGCATTTATTTTGCATTATTTGCAACCTATTTAAATCTGACTTCTTGGAAAGGAACCATATTGTTGCGCAGTAAGTGAAATGGGGCTCAATTATTGTTTTGTATATGGATATTTTCTGTTGACAATTCAATTGATTTCTTAATCTTGCTAAAACGCTTATTTTTTTCCTACTTTCTTACAAATGTAGTTAATATTGGCTTCAAAATTTAGCTTATTGTCGATAACAACTCCTAAATACTTCATTTCATTTACCAGCTCAATTTTTTCTTCATTGATATAATCAATATTTTACTTATTTGAGATCAACATTGCTTTTTTCTTTTTAACATTTAATTTAAGTTTATGTTGACATAGATTTTTGGAAAGGCCGACAAGGTCTAGATTTAATTTATTGCACGCATCGTTTAAATCATCAAAAATTACGTAAATTAGAGCATCATCGGCAAACATTTTAATTTTACAATATTTCAAACAGTCTCCTAAATCATTTATGTATAAAATGAAAAGCAAAGGCACTAAAATTGATCCTTGCGGCAAACCAAGTTTATTACAGACTTCATCAGATAATATTTCGTTGTATTTGACACGTTGTCTACGATCAGTTAGGTAGCTCTTGAACCATGTTAAGGTTTTTCTTTGGACTCCGTTTTTTGTAATTTTGCTATAAGTATATCGGGCTCTATGGTTTCGAATGTCATGTCGTTTGATCATTCATATAAATATGAATTCGGTAAATTTACCGAATGTATACGACAGTTGATCTGTGGTTATTTTTTTAACTTTGAATCGAGTTTGAAACGGAATGTGTTTGTGCATACCGCGAAGATGCAAACATTTTCATATTCAAATAGCCACGTATAGTCACCCAATTGACTTATTTTATTGACTCAAACCATAATGAAGGCGATGAAGGAATGAGCCTAAACATCTTGTATTTTTGATGCGATCCATTTGATGTGGAATGCACAATTATACACATAGGTGGATTTGTAATTCTATCGATTGTTTGACATTGTTTTCTTGAAATATGTGTTCAATAATATTTTGTGAGCTCTAACGTTACTGTGTTTCTTGCTGACGTGACCACACTTGAAAAGTATATAAGAAGATGCGTTCGATTCGTCTATCCATCAAATAGTTCGTCAATTCTCTTCAATTGATACGTTCATAGTAAATTTTTGTTAGTTCGAAGCTAGAAAAATGCTGAGTCGAAGTTCTATCACACTGCTGCTCATTGGCTTGGCGATATCCGAGGTGAGCATTATCGGCAATTTCAGTCATCTTTTTTCTCTTGCAAATTTTGGATCGAATTTTTTGCGTTTGATTCTTTCAGTCGAAAATTTGAGATAAATTTTTCTCAACTAATTTCGTTGGAAAAATCTTCCATTCCAAGAATAATGTCCATCGGAAACGTTTATTCGAATGAAAAATAGTTGAGAACAATTCCAACTTCATCCATTTTTCCCATTCCAATTGTATCACTTTGTTCTATTTCCACAGTTCTTAATCGGAGATGTGGGTGGAGCACCATCCGGAAGGGACGGTAAGATTGAAGTTTCATTTATTTATCCAGTTTTCACTCTCATCATACAAAGTACCATTTGATGTATGGAGATATGAAATAAATACACACTTGCTTCAATCCAATACGGTGATGCCGTACATCAGATGTCACATCTCACGTACCGCGCATACCCGCTGCCACCCGATGAATATTATTATTGCCTCATATACAGGATGCTATAGAATATATTCTATGCATATACGGACTTCTGGCATTTATGTTTTTACTGCTTAATATAAGCCCATTCTCTGAGTTTTTGACATATCTCCAATTAATTTTATTTTTTCTATGAAGCCGAAGAGAGTCTCTGAGTAGCGAAACATTCATTTCCCCATCAATTTCGACAAGAAAATGCATTTTCGTTCGATTCACTTCACTAATCTATAATTTTTTTTAACCTATAGTAAACGCAAGAGACGAACATGGAAATACAGCTCTGCATATTGCTGCTGATACTGGTAATTTTGGACATTTATGTTTTAGAAGAATGTCTTGTTCAATCCGTTTTATTAATCTATATTTTTTTTTAGGTAATTTGAAGGAAGCAAAAAAGCTCATCGCTAAAGGAGCCATTTTTGATAGTGAAAATAATATGAAATCGACACCTCTTCATTCAGCTGCTTTTCGTGGTAATTTTGAATATTTCGCTATTATCATCATGATTAAAATACATTGTAATAAGCAATGAGCACGTGTGCGTGTGTTGACTGAATTTTCTTTTCGAATTACAGTTGGCACATTTTTAACTGATAATCCATATTTAAAAATTAAATATGGTTAATTTATAGCGAATCTTCGGGCATACTATTCCCATTTTCAGTGGCAAATGTACTGTGAATCGAAAATAGAATTCAGACAAATACACAATTCCGTAGCACAATGCAATGGTTTGCAAAATTAAAAAAAAATGAAGGAACTGTTCGCAGGGCGTTAAACACTTCGTTGCTTGTGTAAGAATAATAGATTGATTTGATCTTATTCATCGATTTTAATTATTTTTCAGGGAACAAAGATATTGTTAAACTTCTCATCGGCAAAGGGGCCAAACTTGATAGTAAAAATAATTTGGGAAATACACCTCTTCATTATGCTGCTGAGTATGGTAATTTTGAATACGTGTTTTCACTAAATAGGAAATTAGTTTGATATTTTTCATCAATTTAAACTAATTTTCAGGCTACAAAAAAATCGCTAAGCATCTCATCAAAAAAGGAGCCGACACTGATATTAAAAATAATGCGAATCTCGTACCTCTTCAATATGCTACTCAGAATGGTAGGGCCAATGACTAAATAAGAAATCGCTTTGATCTTTTCCATTGATCTGTATTAATATTGCTCAGGTAACGATGATGTCGTCAAACTTTTTGTCGGTAAAGGAAAGAAAACTGATATGGAAAAGAAATTGAAATAGATTCAATATGCTGCCAACAATGGTAATGTTGTGCATTTATTTTCACTAAATAGGAAATTGGTTTGATTTTTTTGATCGATGTATATTTTTCAGGTGGCGAATAGCTGAATAATCGGATGATTTCTTTCAGTTCCCGTATTCAATTGTAGTGTAGCATATATTAATTTTAATACTTTTTTGTCAATCTTCAACCATGCCGATATTGTTGCTTTGTTGGAACATCGGTTTTCAGAAGAAGAAAAAAACAGCTCAAAATTTTTAAATTGTTCATGGTATTCAATGGTTTTCTCCTGGATTTGTGCAAACCCAAACGTGCTGAATATGAAACGCGATCTGAATGAGTGATTAATTGGAATGAAATTAGAGCACGAAGTTTTTTTTTGAATGTCATAATGTTACATAAAATCAAATTGGCATTTGAAGATTGGAGATACGGTCATGGAGCACGTTCTTTTTAAAGTTAACATGCCTACCCCATATGTTTACATTTCGAGACGAGTGCAATAGAAATTTTTTTTATCTCTGGAAAATAGAAAAAAATTCTTCTTGATAAATAAAAGGTGATTTTTTTTTCCTAACCAAATGTGATTTACGCTATAAGCAGAAAAATGTATATTTTTTAATCATTCCATTTAATGTAACTATGCAGAATCAACTCTATTTACAATATTTATTTTTTTTTTTTTTCAATCATAAGAATTGAATAAAAACAGCCAGTCTTTGGCGGTGTATATTATTATATTAATAAAAGGTGATCTTGCTTAGATTGTAAATTCTTTCACTTTTTTAACGATTCATGTTTTGTTGTTTCTTGAATTTGGTTACATTTTCTCAATTCACAATTAAATTTTCTTATATTTTCGTAATGTACTGACTCAATGCTATTGAGTTTTTGACACAAAGTCATTGTAACATTTGTTACCTCTCGTACTAATTGTTGTTATATCTCTTTAATGTACTAGCTGTTATCAATAACTAGAATTTGGGTGTTATTTTGTAGTGACCAAAACGACAAAAAATCGATCTTAAAAAGACAAAAAATGCTCTAATTTTGAGTCTACTATCTGTGGTGAATTTACTGTAAATGCCATTTTCACCACTCGACAGGGCAGCATGCTGAGTCAAAGTCAAAGTCATGCTTAAGTACTTAAGGAAATGCCATTTTGGGTCGATAGAGAGCTCTGATGGTGTGCACAAATTCAGGGACCGGCTGAAATGGCATGCACAAATTACGCACAAAATATTGGTAGTGATTTGAGTCGATTTTTATCATGCTGAGTCAAAGTCAAAGTCATGCTTAAGTACTTAAGGAAATGCCATTTTGGGTCGATACAGAGCTCTGATGGTGTGCACAAATTCAGGGACCGGCTGAAATGGCATGCACAAATTACGCACAAATTATTGGGACTGGCGTGAGCCATGAAAAAGCGATATTTCCTATAGTTAACTTGTATTCACCACACCCATTTTTCGGCCAAATATGTACTTTGGGCGGTTTGGAATTATTTGACCACATATCGCAAATCCGAAGGCATATTCATTATGCACAAATTATGCACAAAATAATTGCATATTCGAACATGCGAAAAAATGCTGCCCTGTCGAGTGGTGAAAATGGCATTTACAGTAAATTCACCACAGATAGTAGACTCAAAATTAGAGCATTTTTTGTCTTTTTTGGATCGTACAAATGCATGCACATATTTGTAGGGGTCATGCACAAATTATCTACGCAATCAGACGAGTGATTTTTAAACCTTGACCGGCTGGGTAGGGGGGGGGCCGAATTTCGGCTATATTTCGCCTAAAACTTCAACTAAAAATTTACTTTCAGGCGTAAATTTGCCTAATATCTAGGCGAAAAAACGCCTGGAATTCAACTCACTTGGAGGAATAAAGTGGTATAGATTCATTTGAATTTCAAACTAGTTGAGAAGCTTTTAATATCTCTATGGAAAGTGTTACTAAGTACGGCTTATTGAGTGATGTAAAGTAAATATAATTCCCTATATCCTTGTATTTAAGTACTAACACTGTAGCTATTCAACAAACCAACACAATCATGGTACGTGGGCATCAATATAACGCAAAAGTATGAGTAATGTCGTTTGATCATTCATATAAATATGAATTCGGTAAATTTACCGAATGTATACGACAGTTGATCTGTGGTTTTTTATTAACTTTGAATCGATTTTGAAACGGAATGTGTTTGTGCATACCGCGAAGATGAAAACATTTTCAAATTCAAATAGCCACGTATAGTCACCCAATTGCCTTATTTTCCAAACCATAATGAAGGCGATGAAGGAATGAGCCTAAACATCTGGTATTTTTTATGCGATCCATTTGATGTGGAATGCACAATTATACACATAGGTGGATTTGTAATTCCATCAATTGTTTGACATTGTTTTCTTGAAATATGTGTGCAATAATATTTTGTGAGCTCTAATTGGAATTGTCATTATACGTGGATTAAATCAGAGGTTGGTTGCAGATAAATTTATTTATATAAATTTCAAATATCAAATAAATTTATCCGATATTTTTCATGCTTTGTGTTGTTCTGACGCATTCGTAGTACGTAAACGAAACATCGGCTGTTGTATTGGCAGCCAGCTATTCATCGCAGGAATGAGATTTTTGTTTTGTTCATTTACCGATATTTGTGAACAAGTCTGCCACTGTGTCACTACATAGCATATATAGTCCATAAGAAATGTGCAGAGACGAAAATGTTCGCCATTTAGTTTAACATTGCTAATACATTAGTTCAGTGATTAAAATAAGCGGTAGTTCTACCGGAAACCGGTAGTTCTTAAATGAAAAAATGCAGCTCTAAATTTGAAATGCGGTAGTTGCTATTTTGATGATTTTTGAACGTTTTCACACATTCTATGTGTACAAAATTAAACGATTGCAGTGGTTTTGTTCACTTTCTGTTCTTTTCTGTATATAATCATTATCATTTGAATGCTTATTGAAAATACTGATATTTTAAAGTCACCAGCTGTTAGGTACACAGCATGTAAACCAAAATTGGCAATCAAAACAAATGTATCTGATTTCGCTGTTTTTGCATTCTTCGAAATGCAAACAAAACAAAACCGATGAATTCGTTCGCATAACGTCGCGTTTAATTGCTCTGCAAAACAACTTTAAATAAACAATGATTGTTCAATAATCGTTAAATAAGAATCATTCGATCGGTTCATTTTTTTCGATATACGGTGGACTGAATTTACACACACGTTCGTAAACAATGTGCAATTCTCATGGCAAGCACTTGTTGCCTATTTTAAATCAGTGTCCAAGGAATGTGCTGAGGCTGCCGGATATTACACATATCTCATAACTGAACGAAACCTCGAATTGCTAAGATATTGACGGATTTATTGCACATTTTTCAGCGATGTCATAAAAAACTACAAAGCGATAATTTGACGATCGTTAGTGTAGTGCGCCATTTGAATTTACTGCGAAGTGAACTTGATAATTCGAATCGAAAACCATTGTTGGGCGGCTGGGAAGAAGCTTTAAATGAGGGAATTGTTACGACAGAAGACGAGAAGATATTCCTCAAAGATGTCGACCTTACTCAAGGTGGTCGAACACGAGCTCAACAACAAATTGACCCAAATTCTGTTCGCAAGGAAATCATCGACTCTATCATTAAAATCAGTTCAGATCGATTCTCTACAGATGATCAGTTGGTCGAAATCATTGAACCATTCATCAATTTTGAAGCTGATGCCGATTTGAAGAAAGTACACGAGCTATTTGCTACTGATTTGGATTTATCATCGATTAATTTGCAATATCAAGAACTTGTG